CTGTAACAAACTATAATATTTAGATATTAAAATATTGATTTCATATACGTATTGCTAATGATACTGTGGTTTATTTCCCACTCTCTTAATTGAAATGCTGTATCAGTTGTGGTTAAAGATAAAATTGTTTTCCCATCCATGTTTACAGAAATCTTGCTGGGCATCTATTGACTCTAGGTTAATAACTCTTTAAGTCTAGTCTACAGTGTCTAAACACTGAACTCCCTATTGCTAAAAGCCTCGGCTAGCAGAGCCAGACAATTGCTAGGTGCTCTACCTATCTGGTATGAGAACTATAGTAAAAAGTAGCTTTGGGGGAACAGAGAGGCAAGCAAGACTCCTTTATCATAATAATTATCCCACTGGAGCTTTAAAAACCCCACTAATCCTTTTGTCCATGTAATAATGCTGGAAGGAACAAAGAAAAGGTTGACTCAGTTATGACAGTAAGGGCAGAGTATACATAAAATGCTATTCAGTTGTTTCTAATATCGGGGGTGGGGATGTCACCAAAAATGCTTTCAGAAACTGGATAACTTAATGAGAGATGTAGACAGGTGACATACAAAGGTAACTGCCGATTAAGTCACAGTTTCACCATTTGGAATCTAGTGGACAGGTCCCTAGAAAATGGAGATGAACGATAATTGATTATTGCCATGTGGTAATGAGAAACTAGGGTTCCTGGATCTCTTCTTTTTTTTTAATTAAAGCTAAAAATTTTATGACTTTTAAAATTTTTTATATATTTTTAAAGAATAGGGAGAAGAGACAAACATCAGAGGGAGAAGGTAACATCCATCGCTACCTCCTGCATCCCCTACCTAGTGGGATCCCTGCCTGTGCCCTGCCTGTGCCCTGACCAGGAATCCAACTAGCACCTTTTGGTGGACAGAAGGACATCCAGCCAATTAAGCCACACCAGCCATGGCACATTTTTCTATTTTAAAATGTGATCAGCTAATATAAAAACAAATGTTTAACTATGTGGACCAAATCAAAGGCAGTACCTTTGGGTCACTAGTTTGTGAAGTTCTGATATCCTGGGAATACCTTGCAGGGGCTATGCACAAAGTAGGTAGTCACTAAATATTTATAGATGATGGCAAAATACTCTGTATTGTAGGCAGACTTCAACACCCTTACTGCATCCAAAGGCAAGGGCACTAAGTGGTGTAAAGGAATTCAAATTCAGGATAAGACAAAGGTTTTTGTTCTGTTCCTGAGGCAAATCAAAGAGCAAAGAACTTCCAGAGGGAAGGATACAGGATTCAAGTACGGAGGGAGTAGCTAATCCGTAACAAAAGGCCAAGTTCTCTTCAGAGGAGTTTATTTCAAGATAAAACATAACTTCCATCCAGACATTATTTCCAAAGGGAGAAAAAAAGTGTTTTGCCTCCTTTTACCCTTCACATAGAGCATGACAGTACAAATGTCTCTAAAACGCCTCTGCATATACTCAGAAGCTACAGTCCAGTCACTGAAAATGCTTCTCCATCTTCAGCTGAGATGTGATTTGTTAGGAAACATCTGTAACAACATATTCACTTTCTGGGGGGGTAAATTCCCATACTCTCCCTGGATTGATCTCATCTTTCGAGCTGCCTGAAAACACAAAACAAAAACAAAAAATGACAGCTCTCAAGTTTATTCCAACCTAGGACAATGGTTCTCACAAAGCCCCAAAACACGTTAAGATTGTAACCACCCTGCAGAGATCTGTGTCATCTTCTCAGTCCCCTTTCAACAAAAATGACACGGGACCTACAAGTGACTGTAGGATCTGAAGCTACCATGCCAACTAGCAACTAAGCCTAGGCTGGAAACCAAACCATCTGTCCACTGTCTTTAGTTCTATTTCAGAGAATGTCTAGTTAAGCAGCAACTTAACTAAAATTTTGCAAATTGGTTTCCCATTCATTCCTTCATTTGACACTCCCAAAAACTGTATTAGTTTTTTAACTTCTTTTTATTATCCTCCACTTTGTTTTTTTTTAATTAACTTATTTATTTTATTGGTTATGGCCTCAGATAATTGTCCTTATCCCCCCATTCCCATCCCAAACCCCTCCCCACACATGCCTCCACCCCCCTGTTGTCCATGGCCACTGGCTAGGCCCATATGCATGCACACAAGTCCTTTGGTTGATCTCTTCCCCTTACCCCTCCCCTACTTTCCCTCTGTTTGAGAGTCTGGCCACTGCTTCTCTTTCTCTGGGTCTGTTTTTGTTCATCAGTTTATGTTGTTAACTTCTTTTTACATCTGGTAAAGCTCAAGATCATAATGCCTTCAAAACCTAACCTTCCCCACTTTGGTGTGGGTGAAATAGCTCCCGAAACTTTCCTCGCCCTTGTAGAATGAGAGGGGCTTTCTTACTATCTAGCAAGAGACAGTTGTATCCCACCCACCCCCATCCCATCACACACACCCACCCCCACACCCGATCCCACCCCAACTCCGTTATCCTCTACAGAGGGCACTCCAGGAGCCTGGTCACCTCAGCCTTCGAAGCACAATCGAAGAAGCTCTGGATCTCTTTTTTGCAAGCTTCGTCGCGGAATTCATTCTGCTTCCAGCAAGCCATCATCACCGACATCTCTGTGATACAGGTCGCCTCTGCAAGGGGCGTGGGGAGACTCAGCCATGAGGAGACCCTTACCTCCCAGCCCTCCCACCCAGCCGCCCCCCTGCACCCCTCGGCTTCCGCTCTGGAGCCTCCCCGGCTGGGATTGCTCACCGCCCCTGTCCCGGCGCCGCTCTCCGACGCGGTTAGCTAGGATGAGGGGCTTGCTGGGCTTCAGCACCGGCTTCCGCGGGTTTCCCAGCCGGGCTAGGCGGCCCCGCAGGCTGGGAGTCGCCATGGTGCACCAGGCTCCCGGCAGGCTCTGCGGCGCCGTGCGTGACCCTGCGTGACCCCGACGAGGTCGACGAGCTCGGCGCTCGGCGGGCGGAAGGCCCCGCGGCCTGGCTCCTCTCGGCGTGGTCGGCCCGGTTCTGTGCCGGAGCCGGCGGTCCGGACCGGCGTGCAGGTTCGGAGAATTTGGGCTCCTGGGCTAACCTCGGCCGCGCCTCCACAGCTCCCGGCTCTGAGGTCCCCTGGCTGTTCCTGGGCCCGGAACCCCCGGAAAGGGCCCCCATAAAGGAGCACTCTGTGCCGGGCTCGCCAGCTGGAGAGAGAGATGGACACGGAGAGATGGACATCCTCAGGCCAGAGAGGATGGGAGCGTATCATCAAGACAGGAGACTTGAAGATGGTCATTTGGGAACGGTTTTTGTTGCTCTGTAAGCCTTCAGTAACTGTTGGTTTTGACTATCTTCAGAACCACCGCCAAAGCCGCAAAGGAAAACTTGTCTCGTTTATTTGAACAGGTGCTACCACGCAGATAGCATTTGCTCATTTGTAATCTCATTGGATAGGGTGAAGTTGAAGCACTTTCGCAATTCAAGGTCTTATTTAATTCGCTTGACAGTCTTGTGAAGATACTTGGTAGTATCATTCCTGTTTTATTTTTTAATATATTTTATTGATTTTTTTACAGAGAGGAAGGGAGAGGGATAGAGAGTTAGAAACATCCATGGGCGAGAAACATGGATCAGCTGCCTCCTGCACACCCCCTACTGGGCATGTGCCCTTGGCCGGAATCGAATCTGGGACCCTTTAGTCCCCAAGCCCACACTCTATCCACTGAGCCAAACCGGTTAGGGCTCATTCCTGTTTTTTAAAAATATATTTTGTTATCAGACAGCAAGGGAGAGGGAGAGATAGAAACCTCAAAAATGAGAGAGAATGGATGAGAGAATCATTTGTCAGCTGCCTCCTGCATGCACACCCCTCATTGGGGATGGAGCTCGCAACCCAGGCATCTGCCCTTGACTAGAATGGAACGTGGACCCTTCAGTCTAAACAGCGAGGCCCGAGGGTGTATCATTCCTGTTTATAGACTTGGCCCCTCTGTTGTGATGTCTAGCTTCATCAAACTTGGTTCTAAGTGACTTAATTGTTTACAAAACATTCCAAAGATGTGCCATGAATTCTCAAGCAGTTTACAAAATAACCCCCAAAAATGTGTCTGGTAATGGAAGCATAATTTGACCAATCTTATAGTTCCGAAGGTGTCTACAGGGGGGTCCCCAAAAATATATGTACACATTTTAATAGATGATAACTCCATTTTGAAAATGAAATGTATTTTAATAAACACTGCCTTTATAATTATTCAAAATGTGTGTAAACTTAGCTGTGTGAATTTAGTGGCTAAAATAATTTATCACAGATATTTGTAATCTTTCCATTTATCTCTGCACGAATGGTTCTTTTTCCTGTTGATTTTCCGTTCATGTCAGAGAGGCCTTCCTTGACTTCTCACACCCCATCACCACAACCCGTTTTATTTTCTTCATAACTCTTACCACGGTCTGAGTTATTTTGTTCATTTATTGCTTGTTTACCCCCTTACTACCAACACCCATTTGAAATGTAAGCACCATGAGAGAAAGGACCTTGTCTATTTTGTTCATTGCCGAATCCTTAGTGCCTAGAGTCAATAATCACTTGTTAAATGAATAGATGTTTGAAATATTTTTATAAGTATCCAACTTTATCTTGCTCACCACAGAAATATAACCAACCAGAAGACACTGTTTAAAAAATAAGCCATTTATTATACAAAAGGAAACCTGAGGTAGCAGAAAATAACAATACTTGGAGTAATAACAGTATCAGCCCCGTGCTTCACCCCCTCTCCAGCAGAGGATAAAACCGATTGCTATCAGAAACGTCTGTGAACAGCCCCACGCCTGCTGCTGTTACAGAGCAGACTGTGCCCTACGCCAGAGGAGATCCACACTGCCTGCTTTCTCCATGGGGAAAGGGAAGCCACCAGTTGGTAAGTGCCATGTGGCTATTCCTGGTTCTGCTTTCCCTTACGGAAATGTAGCACCCGGCTTACTCTGCTCCTTTGTGAATATTTTCTGCTTTCCCTTACGGAAATGTAGCACCCGGCTTACACTGCTCCTTTGTGAATATTTTTATGGCAATAGGAATAAAGGGAAAAAGTCTGGGAAGTACTGACCACAAAGCAGGCACGAGTCTCCAGCCACAATAATTCATTAACAACTAGCCCACTTTGTACATAAAAGTGCTAAAGGAGTGCCATTGTGAACTGTTGTGATTAGACAGGAAAGGGAAGGATGATTCTACATCTGGTGTAACTACAATCACTTACTCTTTTTACTGCCCATAATGAAAGTCCTAATTTTAGCTTGTACTTGGGTACTAGTATTTTGTTTTTCTGTTTTTTTTTCATGTACAAAAAGTGTTAACTAGCCTAAACCGGTTTGGCTCAGTGGATAAAGCATTAGCCTGAGGACTGAGAAGTCCTGGGTTCGATTCCGGTCAAGGGCATGTACCTTGGTTGCGGGCACATCCCCAGTAGGGGGTGTGCAAGAGGCAGCTGATCGATGATTCTCTCTCATCGATGTTTCTAGCTCTCTGTCCCTCTCTTTAATTAAAAAAAAAAAAAAAAAAAAAAAAAAAAAAAAAAGTGCTAACTAATTGGAACAATTATTATTTTTGAATTTTAATGAAGAACCAGACAAGAAAGGCAGTTAATTTCTACCTAGTGATCTGATACGGTCCTTGGAGCCATGCCACAATGTGCATTGCTTTTACTGAACAAGGCTCTCAGTACTGTCTGACCATGTGCCTAGCAAAAAGCCACTGATTCAATTATGGGCTGCAGAAAGATAAGGTTACATAGTCATTTTATAGCACTCAACTTCTAAACTAGGGGAAGAGATTAGGGAAAAAACAATGATTATTTAATTATTTAACAGCAGGAAAATAAAAATTTTAATATGTGTGCACTGTGAATTCACGTAAACATAAAAGCCAATGATTTATTTTTAAAAAAGAGACATCTAATTGGGTGAAGCCAATTCTATGGAACTTGGATATGAACAATAAATATGTATGTTATAGGTTTCTTATACAGTTGTCTAGGGAAAAACCCTGGATCACTTTTCTGAATAGTGGCCCATTGTAGAAAAACAATATACAGTAATTTCTTGAATGTCATCAGTTATGCTGGGTATCAAAAGATATTTTTATTGGCCATATATAATAAAATATACTGGATAATTCTAGATGGTTAAACTTTTTTTAAAAACATATCTATTGATAAGAGATTTATTATTCCACTTTTTTTGTCTCAGAGTTGTTTTTATTTTTTGTTTTTATTACCCCCTCCGGCCTGCCCCTATAAATCAGCATTTGTATTTGAACAAATTGCAAGCTTAGAAATCAATCCTGAATTTGACTTCAGTTGTGAATTCCTACTGTATCAAATTTTAGCAAAAGTATTACAATTTTTTCTTTTTTAATTTACTGATTTTAGAGAGAAAGGGAGAGGGAGAGAGAGAAACATTGATTTGTTGTTCCATTAACTTATGCATTCACTGATTAATTCTTATATGTGTCCTGAGCGGGGATTGAACCCATAACACCTTGATGTATTGGTATGATGCTTTAACCAAATGAGCTACCCAGACAGGGCAGACAGAAGATCTGCCTTACCTCTTTTTCTTTTGAAGATCTAGCCTTACCTCTTCTCCTTTTCTGCAAAAGACTAAATAGGTTAATCAAACTTTCCATGCTAATATGAGGGGGCATTTTTTATTAAAGAACAGAAAGAAAAAAGAAATTCCACATCCTTAGATGTTACAATATTAAGCGTGGGACCCTCGTTGTTGAGGCATCTATATATATTTGTATTATTAACTCTGTTAGTAAAAAATTTATACATACGTTCACACTAATTTACCACCAGATATATTGCTAAACTATGGAACTTTTCTGGTGATAATTCATTAATACAACTTTATAACCAGGGTAGCTCTAAGGGCCAAGATATTCTTCCCTGTTTCTCTGCTCATTAAGCTATATATTAGTCATAGCAATAGAAGGTTTGGCTACACCCCCAAATTGGACTAACAGCTTTTTTGTTGCTGTTTTGTTAATCCTCTCCCAAGGATATTTTTCCACTGATTTTTAGAGAAAGTAGGAGGGAGGGCAAGAGACAGAGTCAGAGAGAAACATCGATGTGAGAAACACTGATTGGCTGCCTCCTGCACATGCTGACCAGGGCCAGGGATCAAGCCTGCTGGAATCGAACCTGGGACACTTCGGTCTGTGGGCTGATGCTCTATCCACTGAGCCAAACCAACTTGAGCTTAACTAACAGCTTTTTATTTAGCCAGCCACTTGTGTGGCTTAAATCTCTTAACTCACCTCTCATCTCCTTGGCCTTGGGTAGGCACCATCAAAATGTGTGTGGTCTCAGAAATACTATCAAGTTGTATAAAAGAATATAAGTAATAGAATGAATGAAGCTAGAATATTCATCCTACTTAAAATAAAAAGTACTACAGAATATGAGCCATACTGCTGGGCTGTTTTTTTTCATAATTTTCATGACTGGGGGAAATGGGACTTTTGTGATATATAAAAATAAAAGAGGGAAAACTTCATTAGACAGAAAAGAACAAATACATATAAAACTCTTCACTTTGATTTACACAGGCCTATTTTAACATTTCTAAATTTTATATACATACTAGAGGCCTGGTGCATGACATTTGTGCACTGAGGGGGGGAGGGGTCCCCTCAGTCTGGCCTGCGCCCTTTCACAGTCTGGGAGCACTCAGGGGATATCCAACTGATGGCTTAGGCCCACTCACCTCTAGGCCTAAGCCACAGTCCAACATCCTTAGCGCTAGTGCTGCCATCAGCCCTGTGGAAGCGCACTGACCACCCAGAGGGCAGCTCATGTGTTGAGTGTCTGCCCCCTGGTGGTCAGTGCACACCATAGCAACCAGTTGGTTTGCATATAACCCCTTTATTATATAGAATTATATAAATTAAAACTGTCAAAAATCTATAACCAATTTAATACAGAGAAGATTGAATGTGGGAATGGTGGCAAGGCTGCTGTATCTTCATCAGAAATTGTGGAAAACTAGGAAAAGGAAAAAAATTTTAAATAAAAAGACTAACATGAAAACCAAGGTAAATGATATTAAAAAAAATACAACTCCAGAGAACTAGAATACACCACCAGGAGTTTCACTTCACCACCAACATAACAGCTCATAAAGCATAATATCTGGAAAAGAGATTAGAAAAGGTACTAAGCAATAAGGGGTTTGAAAACTAGCGCATGAGAAATCTTACCTCATTTGTAGCTAAGTACTAAGTGTTGTCCCAATCATAACTGACAGGATGAAATGGCTAGAGAAATAAGCAGTTCTTTAAAAATTCTGTTGGCTCTGCACCTTGAATCAAATTGGTGTTTCAGGCTTCTGTTTTCCACTAAACTAAGGCCTGGATGCCTTCATCTCTCCTTGAGACCCTGGCTACACATCATTAGGATAAAACATCAGTCGATACAACTGGAATCCCTTAAATTCAGGGTAAGACAATGTTCGTTAAGAGTTTGTGCAGCATGTCCTGTGGGAGAAGGACTTCCATCTCCTTAGCTCTGCCAAGTTACCAGCTCTCGCAGGGTAATTAGAGATTTTGGTTCCTTTTCAGGAAGATCTCGTGTAGGTAATCCCAAAACTTCCCCTGCTGTGTCTCATTGTTGTGGATCATGGCAGTGAGAGCTTCCCCCTGGTCCAGACCTTGCCAGTAGTCTTGCAGCCACATCTCCTTCCAGCTGAAACATCAAAACGAGGGTTGGATTAGGGAACCTCAGCACAGCGATGGAGTCAACAAAACCTCAGGCAGAGACAGTGGTGTCTGTGGAGCACAGGGCTCTGCTTCCAAGGGAAGGAATGTGAAGGCAATCCAGGACTAGTTCAGGTGGCAGGCGGGAAGCCACCATATGACTATGTCACACACAGCCCAATCCACGGCCAAACTTCCTCACTGTCCTGCTCCTGGTTCCCAAATGCGGAGGGAGTTCAAAAAGGCAGGCAAGGCAGGGGCCAGGCTAGGAAAGCAGTTGTTATTTAGATGATAACCTTTCAAGTTGCACCTTTATTTCAATAATCAAAATGAAGGTGCAGCAGCATTCAGGACCATGATTAAGAGATATCCTGAATTTGCCAAAACCGGTTTGGCTCAGTGAATAGAGCATGAGCCTACGGACTGAAAGGTACCGGGTTCGATTCCAGTCAAGGGCATGTACCTTGGTTGTGGGCACATCCCCAGTGTGGGGTGTGCAGGAGGCAGCTGATGGATATTTCTCTCTCATTGATGTTTCTGACTCTCTATCCCTCTCCTTTCCTCTCTGTAAAAAATCAATAAAATATATTTTAAAAAAGAGATATCCTGAATTTATTAAGTGTTTTCCACTTTTCCTCTAGTAAATCATATCATGTTCAGCATAAACTAGATACAAATTACTTAATAGAGGACTTCATTTCCATGACAAAACTGTGCCAGTAGCACATGCCAGTGTAAACATGCCATCCACTGTCATAGGGGGTCTCTGCAGGCCAATCTAGCAACCTCTCTCAAGTTTAATAATCTTTCACTGCCTCTTTCCCAATAGGCCGGGTTTGCTGCAATAGGATTCAGTATTTTCCCACTCCACCTCCCATGCTGACCTTGCTACCCAGTGCTGATATGTTCTGCCATCTGCCGCAGCAGCCTAATCCACACTGCCCACCATTGACAATTATCCTTTTTTAAAGAATTCCCTCTAAAAAAAGAAAAAAAGAATTCCCTCTATTCTGTCTAGAGTTAATATAAAATTCTGTCTAGGGTGAATCATCCAAATCAGGATACCTTTAAGAGTGAAAGGATGCCCTGGCTGGTTTGGCTCAGTGGATGGAGCATCAGCCTGTGGACTCAGGGGTCCCAGGTTCGATTCCGGTCAGGGGCATGTACCTTGGTTGCAGGCATATACCCAGTGAGGAGTGTGCGGGAGGCAGCTGATCGATGTTTCTCTCTCATCAATATTTCTAACTATCCCTCTCCCTTCCTTTCTGTAAAAAAATCAATGATTTTTTTTTTTTTAAGAGTGAAAGGTGGTGTTAATAATTACACCAGGTTAACAGGTATGAGCCCGGGCTATTAACTTCTCTCAAAATACTCTTTTTTGTACTCCTCACCCCCAGCCACACCATTTACGTATACAAAAGGTGCTCCATAAATAGCTGAATTGATTTTCAGGACAGTCCAATTTCCGAGCCTGGTACTCAGGCTACGTGTATCCTGGCTGCACTTTATCTGCCCAACTTTGTCTCTCCCTCGTCACTTCTCTGAACAAGCACTCTGCTCTGGTTGAAACCCTGTTTGAATTACTATGGCAAAGGTGTGCACATAAGCCGATTTTCACATGTTGTTGCCTTGAATTATCGTTTACGTCTTTACTGAGCTTTTCCAGTTTGTCTTATATCCCCAGCTAGACCCTGGACCCCTTAAATGCAGAGTCCCCTCTCCTAACTTCTTTCTACAACAGCCCCTCAGCACCTCGTGCTAATTCCCTGTCCACGGTAAGCAAGTAAGTAAATAATTTCATTTAATGGCTGCAGGGGACCCCAGCTCCCTTACCTGTCACTCCCAGGAATCTCCTCCACGCTGCCAAAGCCAGGAGTTGGCACTGGGCAGTCCATGTGTGAGGGCTGGGCAATGCGAGGCTCAGGGACAGGGGTGTCAGCAGGGGAGGCTGCGTGGGCTTTCTCGGCCTCCAGCCTGGCCAGCTCATGGTCACAGACGAAACACTCGAAGCCGTTGAGGTAGTTGGGCAACGAAGGGTCATTCACGCCCCACTCCCGGTGCTTCAGGCTCTCCAGGAGGAACTGGTTGGTGATGCCCCCGGGTTGTTTGTAGGCCAGATATTTCATATACTCCTCGTCGTTCCTGTCCAGAAAGTCAATGAACTCCGCCAGCTTCTGGGGCGACTCGAAGTCATCAATGAGGATGATGGAGTGGTTGTTGGGCATCCAGTCCCTCACGGAGGGGGAGCCGCGGTACACGGGCACGGCGCCCAGGTGCATGGGGCGCCACAGTTTTTCGGTCATGTAGTCGTCACAGATGGCGTTTTCGAGGGCCAGGTGGAACTTGTAGCGGGACAAGAAGGCCAAGAGCTCCGGGTCCTCGGTGGTGGCGGTGGCCGTGTCCTGTAGCCGCGGCGTGGGCAGCTCCCGGTTCTGCAGGCACTTCCCGTACGAGTCCACCTGCGCGGGGCAGAGTAACAGGTCAGGCGGGCGCGGCCCGGCCGCCAGGGCGGGGGTCATTCCCGGCCTCCGCCCGGCGCCCCCCTCCCCAGCCCCGCGCTCGCACCCACCGGGATGTGCCGCATGAGCTCGCGCACGTAGCGGTCGCGATCGGCGGGCACGTCGCAGTGGGACTGCAGGTAGAGCAGCGGCGCGTAGCCGCGGCGCCGCCACTCGGCGCGCTCCCGGAGCGGGGGTGCGGCGCGGCGCAGGTAGGCGGCGCCCGGCAGCCACTGCAGCGGCAGCGGGTAGTCCGAGTGGCGGCTGAAGGTGGCGGTGAGGTTAAAGAGGCGGATGCCCGGCCCGTGGCTCAGCAGGAAGTTGTTGAGCGGCGACTCCTCGTGCAGCAGCGCCCAGCTCTGGTGCGCCAGGCGGGGCAGCGGCGCCTCGGACGCGCGGAAGTCGGTGCCGTAGAAGAGCAGCGCGCGCGTGCGCGAGTGGCCGCGCGCCCGCCGGTCCCGGGACGCCACGCACGCGCCGCGCGCGCACTCGATGCGCTCCGAGTCCCCCGGGAAGTGGGGGAACAGCCCCGGGCTCCACCACAGCAGCACCGGCAGGTCCGCCGCGTCTTTCCTCCCGGGCCGCGGGGGCTCCGGGCTGCGCGCCACCCCCACCGCGCCCAGCGCCGAGGGCATCCGGAAGACCGCGCCGTCCCACGGCTCCGCCCACTCCGCCTCGTCTCCGGGCTCCCCTTCTGTCCCGGGCCCGGAGCCGCTGGCCGCACAGACAGCCAGCACACCCAGGGCGGCTAGCACAGCCCGGGTGCGGCCGGCCGCCATGTCCACCCCGGCAGCCAGCGCCCCGGACGGCGCCGGACGCCGCCCCGCGCCGAGTTGTCCCGGGAACTGGGTCCTGCGCGGTGGGGCCTGTGGCGCATGCGCAGCTCCTCCCAGCCTTCCACTTCCCGGGAGCTAACACGTCTAGTAGGAAGGACTGGAGGGCAAGTAAAAACGAGGCTGCTGGTTACATCTTAATTTACTTTATTTCTTTACAAATTAAAGATGCATTGAAAAATAAACCAATGAAGAGAAATGAGAAGTCCAGAGCAGGGGCATCCCAGGCTGGGGGTAGGGAAGCCTGGCCAGCATCAAGCCTAGCCCTTGTCCTGCTCCAGCCAGTTCGGGTTGGAAGATAACTGTCAGCCACTTTATCGATATCAGAGCCCGAGTGGTGTCCCGGGAGGAGAGTACAGAGCTCCGGCCACCTCTGCCTCTCTCCCCAACAATCCCCAGCTTGGAGAAGCAGTGTTTCCAGCGGGAGCGCAGAGTGGGATGTGGGCTGGCTCTGTGAGGTATTGCAAGTTGATGACCAGACTTCCTACAGAACCATCCAGTACTGGGGTCTCTCCAGCTGGAAAGTAGGCTGGCACCTTCCCCAGGTCTTTATATACTTTGCAACTCAGTTCCCAGGCTCATTCACCTCTGACAGCGTGCCTCTACGATCACTATGACCGAGTGATCACAAGTCATTGCAGGAGAACAAAAGCATGGCAGCAGAGAAAGCTAATCAACCATCCTCAGTAATTTTGACTTGGCTGCTGACTTCCAGGCCCATGAAGGATCAAGCACTTTTCTCTCCACCACCTAAGGTTTAAACCCTAGCTCTTGTGCATCTGTATGTTTATCCCTAATATAGGAAGTTGTTGATGGCACTGAGCTGAATTAGTGGGTCCCCCCCTCCCCCCATAGTAACCCTGGGATCCCCACTCCTTCCTGCCTGCTCTCTTTTCTTGGAGGTTGGTCCAAAGGGGCATGATATCACCAGGGTCTGAGTACCTCCAAATCCCCCAACTGAATCATATACAGTGAACTGAGAAACTACATTCATTACAACCGGATTAGCAGGAAAAGAAGGGCAAAGTGAAGGGATAGGGGCACCTTCTATCAGCAGGACATGACAGAGTGGGAGGACACTTGAGCCCAGAAAGAAGGTGTCTCCTTATACCTCTCCCTCCCCCCACAGATACTGAGATCAGCTTACATGACTTTTAAGATATGGAACTGTCCTGATTTCCCTGCTACCCTGGGGTACTTTCTGGAAGCTGGCCTGGGACCTTATGCCCTTTACCCTCTTGCTCTAGCTCAGTAGCTGCCGAATCTCCTTGTGCATATGACAGAGAAAGTCCACATAGGATGCTCCGCCGCTCAGGCTCTTGTCTTCCACCAGGAAGTGCTTGAACAGCATCTCCAGCTTGTCCTCCTGCTTCACCACGATGAGCTATGGCCAGAACACAGCATCGTGAGGCAGAGCCAAGGGGAATCAAACATGCCCTGAAATCCCATTATCTAGTCTCTCACTCTCTACCCCCCTTCAGGGTGAGAACTTGACCAGGTAAAAAACCCAAGGTTCAGATCAGTGTTACCTTCATGTACCGCGATCTCTGTGCCCTTAAGCTATCGATGAGGCCTCGCACCTTCTTGGACAGCGGATTATCCAGAACCGGCAGAATACCCTGGAACACAAAATTCATTCATCCTTACGGTAAGGAACTCTGAGTCTAGTCAATAGGGGGCAGCACAGGCTTATGCATCATTCTGAAACAAGGAAGCCTGGAAGAAGGACAGCGCCCTCCCTGCCCTCAAGTGTTCCCTGCTATTTGAGGGGACTAGCACAAAACCTGTACTGGTTCCTACCACAGAGTACATTTCCACACTGTGTTCTCCTTGGCGCCCTGCCCTTACCAAGCCGCTGGCGATCTGGCTGAAGGAGGAGACGTTGAAGAGGCTCTGGACAACGCCCTGCTGGACTCCTGCTCCCACCCAGATGAATAGGTTGAGCCCGTTCTCCAGCAGATAGATGTCCCCATTGCTCAGACGCTCCTCAGAGGCTCGGATTGCTGGTGGTTCAGTGGTACTCTCAATGGGAGACTTTGTCTAGACAGAAGGAAAGGGGAGAAATGTTACTGAGAACATGAGACACATGTACTGCCCCCCCCCCCCTAACACACAAAAATTTCAGAAAGCTAAGTCCCTCGGTAATTCTGTGAAAATTAAATCGGACGACATAGGTAAAAATAAATTAATGTCACTCCTTCTAGGATGCCCCTTTCTCTTGTGCAATGTCTCACTGTCCAGCCCTCAGTCGCACCAAAGGAAGGAGCCGAGGATAGAAGAACACATTGGTCTCAGCCACGTCCATGCAGGTAACCAGCTGTCGGACATAGGCACGGTCATCAGTAGTAACTTCTGCTCCAGGCTGCAGGACATCACTCTTCAGCACACAGTTCAGGTAAACTGGGAGCAGCTTCATGCACTCAGGGAGGATCAGCTGAAGGGGGTTATCAAGATGAAGTCAATAATCATGAGAAATCCCTCCCAAAGGCAAACATTTGTCCCAACATCTCCTCCGCCAACATGCTTGCCCACCTGTCCTGCAGAGGAGGGGCTGGCACAGTTCTTTCTGTAACAGGCCAGGATCTGAGCACACTGGGTGATAAGAGTGTCACGAACGGTCTTCACAGGGCTGTTTAGGACCCCCCGGTATGCTGGATGGGAAAGAGAAATCGCAGTCACTACTCAGCCACTCCATCACGGGTCTTACCACCACATCTACCTGGGACTGCTGAATCGTTAACCGTCACCTTTTTCAGCCCAAATCCCATCCTGGCCTGCCTCTATCCTCACCAAACTTGGCCATGTAGTTAATGAGCGTGTCGGTCTCGCAGTTTCGATACAGATCAGCTAGCTGGGTGCAGCAGTTGAGGGCCAGGTTGTGTATGCGGAGCCGTCGCTGCCCTCCACAGCTGGTGTAGAGCAGGGCACACTAGGGGAAGAGAGAGAAAGGGAGCTGACACCCTTCCCACACCAATCCCTCTGAGAAACTGCCCCTTTGCTGTTATTAAACTAAGACATGAGCTGTCCCTTCCCCAGCCTCCAGTGTTCTCTACCCACCCCTCACCCTCTTCCCTGCAGCCTTTCTATATCCAGTGAAAGGACACCCAAGGCTTCCTCTCCAGCCCCTGCCTCCCGCCTGCTGCCTGCCACCTGCAGGAGGGCTCCGCTCTCTTCATTGAGCCGATCGTCATGCTTGAACTCCACAGTCACCGTCTTTTCCCCATCCAGGCCAGCCAGCTCCACATCTGTCGTATTGCTCATGTAGAAAGCCCCGAAGAAATCCACAGCACGGATACCTGAGGCCACATGGACAGGGTCAGGGCTAAAGGAATGACAGGTGCCACTTGCCTCCCTCCCGCCCCACCCCCCACCTGCTCTTCTCAACCAGGACTGACCAGTGCTTGTCCGGACTCGCATCACAGCATCAAAGCCAACGACCTTCTCTACATCCCGACGCAGATCACTCATGAACCGCTCCTGATCATTCTCCACCTGCAGCCCCACAGGCCCAAAGCCACATCACACAACATCCTGCAAACCATCTCCCTGCAACCCCTCCACTCTGCAAGCTGCTGACTCATACTGACAGCAACAGAGAAGAGGAGGATGTGGTGGCAGTGAAGATAATGATACCTTTTAAGCACGTTATATGCCAGGTACCACATCAAAAGCTTTATACATAATTACTTAATCCTGATGACAAATCCTAATTAATAAGTATTAAAATCCTACTTTACATATGAAGAAAGAGACAAGTAATTTCCCCAAGGTCATAGTAAGTGGTAGGACCAGAATATCAAACCAGGACTGATTCTAAGCCCCACACTACCAAGCACTACACTTATGGCGCGCGCGCGCGCGCGCGCTCTCTCTCTCTCTCTCTCTCTTTTTTTTTTTTTTTTTTAATATATTTTTATTATTTCAGAGAGGAAGGGAGAGGGAGAGAGACAGAAACATCAATGATGACAGAGAATCATTGATTGGCTGTCTCCTGCACGGCCCCTACTGGGATAGAGCCCGCAATCTGGGCATGCGCCCTTGACTGGAATCAAACCTGGGACCCTTCAGTCCAGAGGCCGACATTATTCATTGAGCCACACCAGCTAGGGCTCATGGCTCTCTTCTTCACACTATGTGGTCTTCCCCTCTAACACTATTCATATTAATGAGTCAGCAGCTAAAGACATGTAGGCAGACACTCCCAGTCCTGTTCCATGTGCCACCCAGAGTCCCATGCTGTACCTGAAAGCAAGCGTATTTGTAGACAGAGCCACCAGTGAGCTGGGGTACCACAGAGAGCGTCGCCACATCAACATACTGGTTAGGGAAGAGGAAGAGGTCTACACAGCAACCTTGGGCCACACACTCTTTGGCCAGGGCCTGGTAAGTGCCTGTCTGAGGCTGGAACAGCGTCTGGGGAGGAATAGAAAACGTTCAAATATCTCAGCTCCAAATATCTCGTATATATAATATGGAATATTCAAATGTAAACTTCAGCCTATTCATAGAAGAGTTTGTATTGGTAGAGGAATGTTCTATTTAAAAAAAAAAAAAAAAATCTACCCAGGGCTTTGGGATGAGATGGGATAGAAAGATGGGAGCAGTGAGGAAGGTTGGCAGTCACAGATGTCACTTGTGAAAGAGCAGAGTATCCAATCCCAGTTCCCCTTAAGAAAAGTAAGAATAGTGTATTGCATTGGGAAGAGTCACTACCCTCCTCTATAACGGAGGTTCTCCCCCTATTCCCAATCCCACACCTTCTCTTTGTCTGTGTTGATCAACTTCCTGTCATCTCTGTTCTTCAGTTTCCCTGGGGCCTCGGCAATGGGCAGGGAGGTGTGGAATATAAACAGCTTCCCTGCACATTCGGCAGCCTAGGAAAGAAGAGAAGACTACTTGTTCATTCTTTCCTTCATTCATCTATTATTCATTCATCCCCTCCCTGTCCTTTCTTCAGCCAGCTGTGTCAGGCAGGCTGAATCACTGGAGAGGCATCAATCACTGAGGAAACAGGAGTTGTATCCCAGGGGGTACACTGGCCAGAAGAAAACAAGCAGAGGCGGTTGCTAGGGACGCTAGCCTTACCTTCAGTGCCTCCATCCCAGCCTGGATAACGGGGGCGAATACTGTCTCTGTCTCTCTTGTGTCTGCAAACATTTCTGGAATCTGATCCAATAAGCTGAAGAGATAGGTAATGGGAAGCATTCAAAATTGATATCCAGATTCCAAAGTCCCCAATTCCCTGAAGAGTCATCTGGGAAAAGCCCCCAATCTCTGGAAACTCCTAACACACAGCTCCTGTCCTTCTGCCAACCCCTTTGCTCAAGTCTCGGGCTTTCTATAGTTGTACCCACACCATCGCCCACTTTACACCCACAATCTGGCTCTTACCTGATGATGACTGCCCGAGACTCGTTGACATTGACCAGGAAGCCATCCAGCAGTGGCACAAACATGTCAGCCACATCAGATACAACCATCATCTGTGGCTGGGCCAAGGAGCTCTTCACATTATAGAAGTGGAGCACCTTATTATAGGTGACGAAGCCAACTCGGATTGCTGACTCTTCCGCTCCTCCCTCCCTGTAGAAAGTGATAGTGTTACCCAGACCTGTCACCTTCTCCACCACCGAGCTTCATGACACCAGGCTCCCCCAGCTGCCAACCCAGTCCCCCCCCCGCCCATCATTATGCAAAGGAAGCACCTCCGCTCCCTAACTCTCACCTAGGTAGAAAGTCTAACAGTGACTTAAGCTCCTCACAGAGGAGCCTAACAAGACCACTCCTGATGGCATTGTAGGAGACATCAATCATGAAGATGAAGGCAGGAGGGCTGGGGAACTTATTGTTCTGCAAAGGAAAGAAATGTTGGGGGCAGGGGGGCATTGGTAATCAGGCTAGTTGATTAGAGAGAAGTCAAGGGGACAAAGAAGGGGTAAGGGAAATGATCACAGCAATTCTTAGCTGTCTCATTGTCCTCTACCCACTGTCCCTCCCCACGGCATCTCCTCTCACCTTGCAGTAATCTACAGTGGCCAAGAATTCATAGGAGCCCAGGGAAAGCTCAGGACGATCATAAGCATCCACACGTTTGCCGGTGTGATCCAGATGTTGAAAATACTGGGGGGGAACTGTGAGGAGTATGGCAGAGGGTTATTCAAAGGTCCACTCTCAATTTTAGTAAGTCTGGCCCTGACTGAGTTCACTCTACTGCCCTACATCCTCATATGTGTCCTACTTCCCTGGTTCCTATATAATGACCCTCATCTGTCTAATTAGAAAGAAAAACACTGAAGATGCAATCCAGATCTCCCCCAGTCCCAGCCACAGTGGACATACCGTCATTGATACAGCTGCAAAAGCAGCACTGGAAGCGTCTCCCTCCCTCCACGAACTGCATGAAAGGGCACATGTATGCTTTGCAGCGATTGCAGCGCAGAGGGCCAGATTCCCCGTGGTCAACAACATACGGTGAAGCCTAAGGAGCAAAGAAGAAGGGCTCAGACACACAGGGAAGCTTTGGTGGGTTGAGAAAGAACAACCTGGAGGGAGAAGCCAAGGCTCAGACATTTTGCCTGGGGAGGGAGTCCAGTGAAGGGGAATGAAGACAAATAATGAGGGTACTGGTCACATAAATATCCCTAAGAGTCTAAATTCCATAGTTCCTTCCCCATCTCCAGAATGTCACTTTTTGAAGAAAAAAAAAAGCCAAAACCGGTTTGGCTCAGTGGACAGAGCGTCGGTCAAGGGCATGTACATTGGTTGCAGGCACATCCCTGGTGTGGGGTGTGCAAGAGGCAGCTGGTCGATGTCTCTCTTCCATCGATGTTTCTAGCTCTCTAGCTCTCTCCTCTCCCTTCCTCTCTGTAAAAAATCAATAAAATATATTTAAAAAAAAAAAAAAGGGGGGGGAGATGGTGGTAAAACTGACCCTGCTAAGCCAGAGTCTGCTAGATGCATAAAAAGAGAAAGCCAAAATTACCTATATTCTCATTTCTGGCCCTATCTTCAGTCCCCTTCACTCTTGCCCAGAAATCTTGATTCCTGCTTCCTTCCCCAACCAAGTATCTATGACACTTATGTCCTCTCCATCCCTGCATTTATATAACACCTATGGATGCCCCAGGAAGATGTCACCCTACAGATAAAAAACCAGCAAGCATGTCCAAGCATCCCCATGGAGACCCAGGAAGAGAAAAAGAGAAAACACAGCAAGGCAGAGAAGCAGGATGTAAGGTGAGCCTGGAGCTTCCGGCTATACAGAAATGCACCCTAAGGCTGATAAGCTAGGCATGGACATGAGGGTGTCCTACCAAGGCCTGGCAGAGCAGTGGCCAAGCCCTTCCTCTTTTCATGCTGATTTCAAGTGCTAGGGTGACAGAGTAGGGCCCAAGCCAGTGAAGAAGGACTACTGGATCCCAATTTACCTTTTCTTCTTACATGCTGTCCTAATATCCCTAACCTACGTGGGATGATAGTATGGCATATAAGAAAAAATAGAATGATTCACTTCTAATCATGTGGAAATGACCAGAGGCTCCTGTATCCAGCTGTCTCCTCAATCCAGCTATCTCTTCCCCTACAAGTTGGCCCTGTCTCTTTTCATATTGTTTGTTTCCCCTTGGACCTTGTTCCCATTAAGCGATTTCTTGGGCTTTTCTGTCATCCCTACCATCCTCTTAAGGCATGAGCCCTGAGATAGAAAGCTATTGAAGATACTCTCCCCTCCCACCCAACCAAGACTTCTTCCCTTTCATATCTAGGAAGAAGTCTTATTCTTCCTCCCTTCCTCCCTTTCATTGTATAATACCCTGACTTACCTCTTCTGGGGGCAGCCTTGCCAGCGGCTTGATGACAGCTGCCAGGGGCACCTGAGCCTGCTTAGCCATGTCAGATGTGCAGGGGATATTATAGGATGTGCATCGAATGTATCGGGGACTTGCATTTCCTAAAGGAAGCAGAACACCTGAGTCAGATCACAGAGTCCCCCCAATTAACCAGCTCTCCCTTGCTGATCCCCCCATCACCCCCACAAATGCTAGAGCTGAGGATGGCTTTTCCCCCGCTACAGACCGATGAGGCGCTGGTCTTTGATTAAAGACTGACAAAAGCCCCATCTGTAAGCTGATAATCTCGGAGGAAATGTCTCCACAGGGAGGAGTTATGCCTTTCTCACCTTGGTCTTTCACTAGGAAGTTGGTGGTAACTAAGGGTGGCACCTGGCCTCGTACGCCAGTAACAAATGGCTCTGAGCCCCGGTTGTTCCTGTCATCCTCAATGACCTGAATCTGTAGGAAAAGGGAAATGAGTGAGGGGACACGAAAAAAAGGGAACACCAGGCTCCAGAGAGCCAGGAGAAAGAAAGGCTGAAGCTGTAGCACAGAAACCACTGGCCAAGGAACGCCAGGCCTGCTCTGTTCTGGAGACCATATAAGATGCTGTAATGCCATTCTGCTCTACAAAATGCTGGACAGGCAGTGCCAAGAATGGGTTTCTTTATTAATTGTCCAGACTCTCATCAATAATAATCACCCTTTTATTCCCTTAACTCCAGGACTGCTCCAGCTCTTATCAGAAACCTTCAAACATGATCAGATTCCACTTCCCTCCCCCACCCTCCAAAACACGTTTTGAGTAAGAACAGGAAAACAGACAATAGTAACCATGTAAAAATGAATCTACCTGGAGTGACTCTACATTCAATGAAAATAGAAGGGACAGGGTGAGGAGAGGATAAAACAGCCAGAAATGATCAGGTAAGGTGAGGAAGCAGATGCTGCCCGTGTTCAGGCGAGCACTGAGGTATAAATATGGGAGAAGAGGGTAAATACCCAATCCTTAGAGCCCAATCCTCAGTCTCCCATATTTTGGCAAAGGAAAAAAACATTTTTTTTGCAAAGCTGTAATCAGATCTTTGTGCAGGCTGATGATCTTCAGGATGTGTTTGGTAAAACCAGAAAAAGTAAAGGGAGAATAAGAATCAAAGCCCATAGCAGATGAGAGGTGGCTCACACTTTCCCAAAACAGTAGTTCCTTCCCCTTAAGAAATGCCAGTATCCCAAACTTATAGCCACAAATGTTAATCCACAACAGGCTGCAGACAATTCAAACCCAAAAGGGAAGGATTTACCGCTCATCTTTGTCCAGTTCCACCAAATGCCACATGCAGGCTTCCGGAGGAACCGGCAGAACACCAAAGCTTAACATGCCACTGACCCCCCTCAGAGCCTGAGCTCTCCCGCCCCGTCCTCAAGGCACTGCTAACAGCTTGCTACTTCTTCATCACATGTGACTTGAGGCATGCACATCCTTCTAGTTCGTAAAAGCGAGGTCTAGAAGGACTAAGGGAAAAGGATGGAGAGAGATGGACATGGTGGGTGAGGTGAAAAGGAGTCACAGGCATGCATGGGTGGCACTAACACATGGATGACACGGGCGCACACACACACACACCCCCTGCACTTACTGGACTAGGAATGGCATCGGGGTCTATCCTGTGCCTGGTTTTCTGCTGAGGAGGCAGCTCATGGAGTTGCTTTTTAGTGTTTTAATAATAAAGGCAGCAGGGTAATACAGGGAGGGAGACAAAAGAACAAGAAGCAGATGTTACTTCTCTCAGCCCTGAGGAGTTAGCTATGAACAGCTGGAGCCCAGCTCATACTGCTGAAATCAGGCTCTCTCTAGGTCAGAAATCCCAAGTCTTTCTGTTCTAACACAGAGGCTTTAATGGCTTAGACTATGGTGTAGAAAAATAAGGACAAAGACATACAAGAGGCAAGCAGGGGTTTAAAGAGAGGCTGGATGGGATAAATCGTAAGGAAGGAGAGGGATATCCCCTCCAAGCCTTCCAGCTAAGAACTCTTCTCCCTCCACATGCACCAGACGCCCCTTCTCACTAAAGGGGGGGAATGGAAGGAAGGGCTGCTTAGTCCTTCCAGGTCCCCCTAGCCGACAAGGTCCCTCACCCTGGTAGTTCCCCAAAGGAAGAGAACAGAATGGAATATGACAATGGCTAAGCATGATGAGGTCACTGACATAGCAAATGTTGCGGAAAGCACTATAAAGTGGTGCCCAGCCTCTATTCTGAGTAGGAAAGGGAGGCTTGTAGATTCTAAGGGTGAGATTCACCTTCTTTCTGGAGAAGCAGCTTCCCCAAACTGCCCTTGTAAGCATAGATCCCTTTCTCCATCCACACAGGAGCCTAGCAAACAGAAGTACTAGAGGCGTTCTCTTAAAGCTGTCCGGGTAGGAGCAGGGAGAAAACTGAGGCTCTCCTTCTTATAATTCCCACTGGCTCCTACAGATCTAAGGGGACAAGACCTGGACACAGCCACTACCCCACAGAAGGGGCAGCGGTGACCATGCGGTGTCCAATAACTGACAGAACACAGCACTCCAGCCAGATCACTCTGGTCTTCCCTTCCTTTCCTGCCCAGGAGTAAAAATATCACAAAAGACTTCCGGGGCTTCAAGTTGCAGTTCAAAGAATCAAACATTACATCTAGTTTCTACACCTATAAGATGAACGAACAAGAAAATAATCAGAAAATACTGGCAAATATCTCATCACAAACTCCTTCCCCAGAACCACATTAAGTATCTACTTACAGGGCTCGGGATGGCATCGGGATCCAGGCGCTTAGGAGGCAGTGGCTGAGGAGGCCCAGGCTGACTGCCAAAAGCGGGTGCTCCTGGATAGGGACTTCCATAATTGGGCTGAGGGCCCCGGGTTGGTCCATAGGAACCTGAGAGACAAGGACACGGGTTGATGAACTAAAACTCCTCAGGTAAATTACTAGATTCCTAAACATAGAGAATTATGAGGCAGAACAATGACCATTCAGAAAGACCACACTGTCTGAACTATGAGAATAAAGAATGTCTTATAACCCCTACATCCTAGTAATAATACCCTGAAGTTATCCATCTAGTTTACCGCTTAGCAAGCAAAACTAAAGGCAAGCAAACAAAAAACACCTGAATAGCTGAAACCTCTGGCTCCTAGACAGGCATGCATGGGAAAACTCACCATTTTGTTGCAGCTGATAGCCTTGCTGCTGGGAGGAGTGCATAGGGGGTGGCGGTCCTGGGGGCCCAGCCATCTGGGTGCCAGGGTGCAGAGCTTGAGGAGGAGGTGAGGACACATGGTTGGGCTGATTCAGTGGGGGTCCCCCAAAACTCTGTCCAGGCAGGAGTGGACCAGTCATTGAAGGCATCCGAGGACCCCCCGAAGCTTGGGGTGTGAAGCTGGAGGCCTGCTGAGGGGCAGATCTCTGTGGAGGCTGAGCCCCAGAATGACCCTGGGCCTGGCTAAGGGGAGGAGCCTGGCCTTGAGGACAGGAGCCGTACAGACCAGAGTTAGGGAAACTTCCTGAGGCCGACGCCAGTGATGTTGGTGGGCCTGAGAAGTAGAAGAGGTAGAATCAGAACCCCCATCATCCTGCCATCTTGTTCAGTAAGTCACATAAGAGGGGCAGGAATGCCTGTCCCAGCTGCTATAGCTCAGAGACACAGCCTGATGCTTCTAAAAAAAAAAAGGGAGAACAGTAACATTCCTGTTGTCACAGCTACTCACCATAGCCCAACCCTGAAGGGGGAGCGGCTGGGGTCACAGAACCACTGATCTGCATTCCAGCCATCTGAGCAGTCACCTGTGCACTTGTCGGGGGAGGGCCATAGGGCTGAAGAACAGCTGGCTGGCTGACCACAGGGGCCACTGGGGCTGACCCAAATGGCTGAGACCCAGGGAGCCTGTGAGGAGAAAGCAGGCAGTTCAGGACTGGTGGGCTGCGACACCCTTCACAGTTGGCAGGAACATCATATCATGTAGGAAGCTATATTGCTTTACAGCATCTTAATCTCATCCTGGGCTCTTATGGCTTCATACTTTCGTATATTTGCAGATAAATTACATTCCTGATGATTTACACTTTATTATTCATGACAAATCTTGTTTTCCATGAGGTTCACTCCACAAACATATGCCAAGCACCCTCGGGTCAAGTATTATTTACCCTGCTCCTTAGATTATCGCCTCCTCTGCCTTAATCCTTTGTAACCAGAAGCCCTGAGGAGCTGAAAAGGAACGTGGACAGAAGTGTTAACACAACAGATATTTAATAAATGTGGGATCAGCCCCGCCGGCATGGCTCGGTGGTTGAGCATCATCCTATACACAAGGAGGTCTCAATTCGATTCCTGGTCAGGGCACATGCCAAGGTTATAGGCTCGATCTCCAGTGTGGAGTGTGCAGAAGGCAACCCATCGATGATTTTCTCTCATCATTGATGTTTCTATCTCTCTCTTACACCCTTCCTCTCTGAAATCAATAAAAATATATTTAAAAAATAAAATAAAATAGCTGGGACCGGTTTGGCTCAGTGGATAGAACATCGGCCTGCGGACTGAAAGGTCCTGGGTTCGATTCCGGGCAAGGGCATGTACCTTGGTTGTGGGCACATCCCCAGTGGGGAGTGTGCAAGAGGCAGCTGATCGATGATTCTCTCTCATCAATGTTTCTAACTCTCTATCCCTCTCTCTTCCTCTCTGTGAAAAATCAATAAAATATAAAAAAATAATAATAAAATAAAATAAAAATAAAATAAATGTAGGATCAAACAAATGAAGTTTGACTGTTTAACTTTTAAAGCAAAGTATTTATTACTTTATCTTGGGAAGGATGTTAGAAAAATATACAAGATCAGAGAATCAGGTCAGCTGATTTGGTAATCTATACTAATCATATCGATGTGCAAACTACACCAGAAAAGAATTAGAGAAACAGGACATAAACCAGGGGTTCTAGCTGGATCTATTTATTAGGAAAGCTTCATTTCTTGGGTAGCTATGTTAGGCAGTCCCATGGTATTAGGTAGCACATTAAAATATAAATACTGGCCCCGGCCAGTGTTGCTCAGTTGGTTGGAGCGTTATCCTGTACACCAAAGGGTTGAGGGTTCAATTCCTGATCAAGGCACATCCTCAGGTTGCGGGTTTGATTCCCCAGTCAGGATGCCTATGGGAGGCAACTGATCAATGTTTCTCTCTCTCTCCCTTCTTCTCTTTCTAAAATCAATTTTAAAATGTTTTAATATAAATACAAAATTATTCCAATATCAGTGCATACCAAATTATTCCAATATCGGTGCATACCAACTAGCAACTTGCACTGGTGTTTTACGGTGTTATTGCTACAGAAATCTACAACATAGATTATTATACACAACAAGCCCTTTCTGAGATTTCAAGAGTGAATCAAATTCTTCGCAACAGTTTAGTGTATTGAAATTCTGATTTATCCTTCTTGTTTATTTTGTCTCTACTAAATAACTGGTACTTTATTATATTTAGTTAGCTTCTATTGATCATATAGTTTAACACTTTTCATTCATTTATTCAAGTAGTATCATCTAAGTGTTATGCTAGTGAGCCTTACCTCCTTAAGCTCTTTTTTGGGGCTTTGCAGTTTTATCTTCCATAGCATACTGTTAGCCCCATGGCAGATGCTCATAAATCCTTATCAGAATAATTATGTTCTATAGTCCTCCTCCATTATTATGCATAATACTATCAACTACTCAATGTTATTCTGTCACATGCCCTAGTAATAATAAACCACCATCTGTATATGTATCTGTATACAGCTTTACAATTTGTAAAGCCTTTTTAAGTGCTTTAATGTAATCCTCACAGTAAAACTTTAAAACTCTCCAATGGCTTCTCACAGCAACTAAAATCAAATTTAAACGTCTTCATATGGCTTACAAAGCAGAGTATAATAACGGTTCCTGCCTATATTTCTACTTTATCCCCTCCACTCTCCACTATGCTAGCCCCTTTGGGCCTCTTGCTCTTCCCACATTCTCACCTTTGGAGAGCTCCCGTCATCATTTCACTAAGGTTTCAAATATCTCTTCAGAGAGGCTTTTCCTTGACCAATCTATTTAAAACAGCTTCCTACCTCCTCACCAGTCATTCTCTATATCCTTACTCTGTTTTATTTCTTATTTATATTTATCTACCTGTTATCTTCTGTGTATTCCACTAGATTGTAAGCTCCATGAGGGCAGAGACTTGTTCTGTTTACTGATTTATCTCCAACTTCCAGAATAATGCCTGACACATAATAATATTAAATATTTGTTTGAGTGGATGAATGAATGAATGAATTCCCTATACTGCTTCCGGAATATTCCCACACACAGGGTTGGGGAGAGCTTCGCAGGATCTTTCTCCAGGCTTGCATTCAATGTGAAAGATGTACATTCTGGACACCCAATAAAAATGTCAGAAGGTAACTCTTCCATTACTACACACTCTACCCACAGCTAAACAGATCCTGCTCCACCAAAGTCTTCATCACTCATGTGATTTCCTTTTGTTTTAATGATTATAATAACAATATATTGGCCTTAATGAATAATGAAAGCTTTCAAAGAATGGCACATATGATTTTGCTTTGAGTATCATTTCTTTTGTAACTGGTCACACCCGAACTTAGCCAATAAGTCCTACTAAGTACCTGATCTAGAGGAAAGAGGGAAGTCAGAGGAGGAAAATAATCCTGGGGTCCCTTCTTCCTGTTCTTATATGGAGATATATGCCTAGTCAGGAAAAAAACTCAGGTTCAAAGAAAGAGAAAGAATGTGTAAAAGAGCATAGGTACTAAGATAGGTCAACAATCCACAGAGTGGACAGCAGCAGCACCTGTAACCTGGAAAAAGAAAAACAAAATACAAAAAGGTGGAAGAAAGAGAAGAAGCTATCTAAAAGAAAGACAGAGAGAGGGGTTATACAAAAAATAAAAATAAAACAAAAACAAATCTCAAACCTCATAAACTCAGACAACAGTATGGTGATTACCAGAGGGAAAGGGGAGTGGTGGTAGGCAGAAGAGGGCAGAAGAGGGCATAAGGGGGATAAATGGTGATGGAAGGAGACTTCACCTGGGGTAAAACACACAATACAATATACAGATGATGCATTACAGAATTGTACATCTGAAATCTATATAATTTTATTAACCAACATGACCCCAAAAAATTCAATTTAAAAATTAAAAAGGTGAAAAAGTAAATAAATCAATATACAAATAAATAAATAAAAGACAATGAAAAGGAAATGGGCCCTCAGACATTCCTAATCCTTCCAGTTTCATCATCACACCAATTTAGGTTGACCTGAGTACATACCTTTGCATTTGAACAGTGGAGCTAGGCCCATTCTGTACATCTCCTTGGCCAAACTGGCCGTATCCTCCCTGGCCACAAGGGGCCTGTGCTGTGGAGGCTGGAGGCACCCCTGAAGAAGGTGGGGCTCTTGACACTCCTGAGGGTAAAGGACAGGAACTAAGTGATTGGGAAATAATTCCTCCTCTCTCCCAAGCAAGGAATGCAAAGCAAGATCAATAAGCACAGACCTTCACTGGCCCAATACCACGGCTTTGTAATTAAAAGGACACCATCACTATGCAAATCGAACTACAGCAGATTCTGAACACTGACGCCCAATCAGAGAGCCTCCACTCTCCTGAACCCACACACAACAAGTGAAGCTGTAGCCAGAGCTACAGGATTGCAGGGCCTTTCTATGATCACCATATACTTACTGTCATGCAATCAATCCAGGACAGACAAATGTTCTCACCCTAGAATAAAGGCTAATTATTTTAAGGAAAAAGATGACACTTTAGAGACTAGAAACTTCGAACATAGATGAGAAAGGTGGCACAGAACATGAGCAAGTAATACACTGAACTAAGTTGTCTCTTGGGGAAGACATTCTGCCAACCTCCTTTCCATAAATTCTACTTATCCCAACCGTATTCTCTCCATCCTCTTCTAAGTGTTCACTCTCCCAATAGCACATGGCTCAGAAAAGTGTCCCCACAGGTTGGAGTCTTTGTTTCCACCCAATAGTTCGGTCAGGACAGTTGGCTTGTCTTCCCATTAGTGGTGCCACCTATGTCTTCACAAAAGCTGGACTCCATCCTTTCTGCTCATCAGAGCTGCCATCAAAGCTACTTCTACTGTCCCCAACATCCTTCCTGCATACTGTCCCCAACTGTCCTTCATGCATATTGTTCCCAACCATCCTTCCTGCATACTGTCCCCAACCATCCTTCCTGCATACTGTCCCCAACCGTCCTTCCCACCTGAAATGCAGGGAGAAACAACTAGTTACTTGGTGCATCATTTTGAAAATGATGCTGATCCCTGTTCAAACATTTGTTTTTCTTCTGCTCTACCTTCAGCAGAGATTAGACATTACAGAACATGATTAATCTGAACCTGCTCACTAGCCATCACAGAACCAGATACGTTTTCCTCTCAATAATAAAGCTTCCTCTTGAGGCAATGCCAAACTCCATCTTGATAAGCCAGGACTTGACAGACTGAGGTGGACTCTGTCCAGCCAAAGTTCCAACCCAGAGTAAGCCTCTTCCAGAAACCTGAGACCTAATCTCATCATTTCATAATTTTTTTTTCAAAGTTATAATTTAAATGACAATATTTCTTTTCCCAAATCTCACCTATGCCTCCTTCACAGGATTTACTTTCTTAAAAAGCATAAAGCATTTGACATACCCAAAGTCCTCAACTAGTCTAACCAAAGATATACTGCTCAACGTCTTCTAAAAGTCTTTAAGGATAATCTGTAGAGTATTTAGCTATTCTTCTTTAAAGAAGAAGAAGAAGAAGAAGAAGAAGAAGAAGAAGAAGAAAAATCATCATCATCCAAATCCAAGCACTGATTTTAAGGTAGCATCAGAGAAAGTCTTCTCTTATTGCCCTTGTATTACCAAGCCTCTAAAAGTCAGAGGAAACTCAAGCAAAGGAAAAGAAATATCAGTAGAAAGATATGAGAGACGCTAAAACTCAGGCACACAAACTCCACACTTTTCATTCACAAACCAGCTCCCCATGTACCAAAATCATTTATTGGTAGGACAGTCCGTCCAATAAGAGGCATTATCAATATACACGAGGAATGCCAAGTGGGGTGGCTCAGTTGGTTGAGCATCAGCTTGTGTACCAAAACGTTGCCAGTTCAGTTCCCAGACAGGGCACATAACCTGGGTTTTAGGCTTGATCCCCAGTTGAGGCAAGTACAGAAGGCAACCAATAAATGTTCCTCCCTTCCGCCCTCCCTCCCTCTTTCCCTTCCTTTTTTTCTCTCCTCTCTCCCTAAGCATGTCCTTGGGTGAGAATTAAATATATATATATATATATATATATATATATATATATATATATATATATATATATATATATATATATTAAGCAAAGTATAAAGTATTTAGCATAGCATGGCATATGGAACAAGTAATTCCAGGGAGACTTTAGGTCAATAGAAAATAGTCAACCATGGTCATAGGCTCTGAAGGAGCTGTAACCACAACCCTTCCCTCCATCTGTAAACAATGCAGCCAGGTGAGGCTGCCCAGGGTGACACCCACAGGAAATGAACTGCCATTGACCATAGAAGACATGCGCTCTTAGATGTCTTAAGGCAGACAGAGTTATGTTCTGTAAAAACAGGGAAGAGCAGACTACCCAGGGAGGGGCTCTTAGCAGATTCATGTTCCTCAATCCCAGTCACCCCAACTGTCGACTCTAGACAGTTTTGGTAGGGCAATACAACCCAACCCTGGTAACGTACCTGGAGGAGGTGTTTGCTGGTAGCCGGGGACTGGCCCATTGTAGGCGCCATACGTGTTGGGAGGGGCTGTGGACCCTGGTTGCCCACCGAAGCTGGATTGATGATACCCTGGGTAGACAGGCTGGGGCTGCCCATATGGCGGCACAGGTGGAGCTGACTGGTTGACATTCATTATGAGAGCATCCCCAACTTGGTCTCACCTGTTAAATAAGAGAGAAGAGAGAAATTAGTCATAATCAACCCTCTAAAAAGAGAGCAACTATACAGGGTGGGAAGCAGACACACAAAAAAGGACCGACCTTATCAGGCAGTGATCAGCCTAATCATTCCCACACTCCACAGGATCTTTGTAATTTTCTGCCCCAACCGGTAGCCAGTTTACTCCCCAAAGTAAGGGTTTTGTTACTCTGAATCCCATGCTTTGTCACTGCCAAGAGGGTGTAAGTTGCAACCACAGACGGGCCCCCTGGAATGGAGCAGCAGCCTGCGCTCCCCAGTGGTATGATTTCTAGTGTCTAGACACAAGGAGTCCTGCCACTGATGAACTACTGTGATATTACCGGTAAATGAAACAGTGTTCCCACTTTCCATTCATTCACTCTAGCATCCATTCATTCAACAAGCACTGAATACAGTCCAGTGTGCTAGTCATTTTTAATCACCCAGGCTACAAGTCTAGCAGATCAGGAAAATTCCCTCCCCATCAAAAGGCAAATTTCAAAGTGACTGATTAGAGAAATGACATTCTTTGACTAAACTACAACAATCTTCATGCTACTCCATCTCCAATCTTCCCCCCAAATAAAGGTATGTACCTTAGAACTGAAGCATTAGAATAAACGTAAAGAACACCTGAAAACTCCATCAGAGTGCAGGCCGGGCACAAAAAACTTCTCACAACTAAGGGAACAGTTTAAGAATCAGCAGCAAAGTAAAATTTTATGGGGGGGGGGGGGGGGGGAGATCATTCACCTTATCCACCAAGCAGAGGAACTATGAGTATCCAAATCCCAATGCACTCCAGCTCTCCTGTTTCTGCTCTTTTCATATGCCTGTCATGATTCTAGGCCACCACCAAAATTATTACAATCATGCCCAGCAACGGAGGAATGAATTAGCGGCCCTTTAACTGGGTCCTTCCAAGAACAGGACAATCCGATCACATCTACTCCGAACAGCCTTACCATTCCAACTATCCCATAGACAGAAGGGGCCCCAGAAGCAGGAGAGCACATAGAGGCTGCAGTGGGACAAGGGGCCTCTTCCCGTTCCTAGGAAGGGTCGTCTCTTGACTACAGACAAGCGGCGATACTCCTGGCTTTACACGCAGAGCCATCTCTGGTGTTGTTCTTCCAAATCCTAAACCTTACACAGGTCACGACACTAGGCTTGACAAGTGTTTCCCTCCCTCATCTTCCTAAAGTCGGTGTGGGGCTGGGGTGGGAGGACAGGAGCTTCTTCTCCAGGAAATAAATCCCTCCAGCACGCCCAAGAGTTTGGAGCAGGCTCAAGTTTCCACGCCATTCTGGGTGGACAGTCAAAGGGTGACAACCCAGGGGGCGGGACAAGCTTCCTAGAACTCGGGAAGCAGCCGGGCTGCGGAGGCTGAGGGCGCCGGGACCCAGCCCCGAGGAGCCAGGGCAGCTTCTCTGGCCACGGTGAGAGAGGCTGGTCCACTAAGCATGGAGATCGAGCGTCCTGCGCCCTTCGATAGGCTCGGGGCAGGAAACGGGAGCCGGAATGTGGGCCGGGAGGAGAGAAGGGAGGGTCGGGTCTAAGACTGATCCTGGATTGCGGGTGCGCGAGGTGAGGGTCTCTCACCCGGCCCCGCTGCTGGGCTCCTCCCTTCCTCTTCAGGCTGAACCCCGATCTGGCCAGGGGCACCCCGGCCTTTCCGCTTCTTCCCTACCCAACAACCTCCCGATGCCACTCCTCACCCGGCTCCAGATCCAGGTTCGACTTCGTTCCTAACGTCAAGGCTCCCAGGCTCCACTTCCGGTTCCGAGGGGGCTGTCTTGTCGGCCCCGGAAGTTCCGCCCACACGCTCCGGGGCCCTTCCCCTCCTTCTGCCACGTCTGCATTGGGCACGCGCCCAGGAACCCGGATGCCGCGCATGCGTCACTTTCGTTTCCCATCGGAGCCGCCTCTTGGGAGGCTCCGCAGATTCTTATACATTTGCGCTTTTTTGTTTCTTTTTTTCTTTTAATCCACCCAGCTGTCCCGGTCGCTTTACGGTCTCACCAGTTGAATAGCGATCGGGAAGATTAGGTCAAACTATCTTCCGTAACAACCTCAATCGCCTACTATGACATGTTAGTGATCTCTGACCTAGAGTCCCGTAGCCACTTCCTGCTGACCTTTGACCCCATTGATTTCCGTGTTCCGTGTTGTTCTCACCCACGACCTTTGCTGGACTTAACGAGTTCGAGTTCTGGGTCTGCAATTCGCTATCTTGGGCAACTTAATCTCTGCCTCAGTTTCATTCATCTGTAAAGTGGAGAGAATATTAAATACCCTTGTAAGAGCGTGTACCCTTCTTATAGTCACGTAGATTGCCTGGCACCATAGTAAGCACCAGTGGAAATTAACCACTTTTATTCAGCTCCTTGGTTTAAATGCTGAGCCATGGGAAAGGGAGATGATCTCTGTTCTCAGAATGACCCCAGCAGGTGGAAGAGCTACAGTTTCTAGAGTAATTATTACCTCTAAAGAGTAACACTAATTGTAGCTAATATTTGTACAATTTTTTTAAAATATGCCATAACCAGTTTGGCTCAGTGTATAGAGTGTCCTCCTTTGAACTCAAGGGTCCCAGGTTCAATTCCGGTCAAGGGCATGTACTTTGGTTGCGGCACATCCCCAATAGTGGGTGTGCAGAAGGCAGCTGATCGATGTTTCTCTCTCATCGATGTTTCTAACTCTCTTTCCTCTCCCTTCCTCTCTGTAAAAAATCAATAAAATATATATATTTTTAAATATATATATATATATATATATATATATATATAACACCTCATTTAATCTTTTCAATAATATTTATTCATTTAAATTATCTTTGAGCACTGCTGTATGCCAAGCCATGTTCTTGGTTCTAGGAACACAGAAGTGCACAAAAGTTCTTTTCTCATATTGTTGATGTAAATATTAGTTGTTCCGAGACACAGAGTGGTTCATACATTGAAAACATTACACTGTAGTCTGTGCTGGAAGCCTAATGGTCATTAGCATGCTTTATTTAGTAAATGGGCAGATTGTTCTTATCCTCAGGAGTTTACAGTCCAGCTCAGGGGTTCTCAAAGTGTGATCCTGGAATCAACAGTATAAGTGTGACCAGAGAACCTGTTAAAAATACAAATCTCACAAATACAAATCACAGACCCACTGCAAATATATTGAGTCAGAAATTCTGGAGGTGGGCTCAGCAAGCTATGGTTTCACAGGCCCTCCTGACAATTCCTTTCACACACTGAAGATTGAGACCCATTAGTCTAGGACTAGTCTCGGTTAAATAATATTTTTATATGTGCATATATATTACATTGATAAACTATTTTCTTACACAATCATCTAATTCTACTATTTATGCTATCTTATTTTAAGGAACTAATAGCTTTAAGAGCTTTCCAGGTGATTCCAATGCACATTGAGGGTTGAATGAAAGCCATAATGTATAGCACAATGACTTACATGTAGCTAACACTTAATACATGTTTAAATAATGAATGGATGGATATTTAGATACTCTTTCTACTGATGAGGTCAAGAAACTGTCCGAGGTCACTCATCTAGTAAATGATGGAACAAGAATCCAAATCCAGATCTGATTCTGTATCCCAGGTGTTTTCTATGACTATATACACTAAGGCAGTGTTTCCCAAACTTCTCTCATGATAAGAATTACCTGTCTTAGAGCACTAGTTAAGTATACAATTCCCAAACATTCTAGTTTAGCACTTCTTAGTTGGGATTCAGGAATCTGTATTTTAACAACTCCATCAGGTGATTCTCATCATGAGAGAAGTTTGGGAAACACTGCACTAAGACAAACAGCATTTGGCACACTAGCAGAACAGCTCAGCACCATAATGTTATGTTTTATAACAGGAATCTCTTTTAAAAAAATATTTTTATTGATTTTTTTACAGAGAGGAAGGGAGAGGATAGAGAGTTAGAAACAATGATGAGAGAGAACCCTCGATCAGCTGCCTCCTGCACACCTCCCACTGGGGATGGGCCTGCAACCCATGTACATGCACTTGACTGGAATTGAACCTGGGACCCTTCAGTCCGAAAGCCTGTGCTCCATCTACTGAGCCAAACCAGCTAGGGCTATAACAGAAATCTCTTAACATAGGACACATTCATGTAATGGAAATCTAAAAATAAGTAGGGATTTTATTATTAACATTAGAGGCTGGGTGCAGGAATTCATGTGTGGGTGGGGTCCCTCAACCTGGCTGACAATCAGGGTCAATTGGGGTGGCAGAAGGTTGGCCAGCTGGTGGGAGGGGCCATGGGAGGTTGGCTGTTGGGAGCGCACTGACCACCAGGGGGCAGTTTCTGCATTGAGCATCTGCCCCCGTCAGTGTGTTTCATAGTGACCCATCAACCAGTTGTTCAGTCACTTAGACTGCGTAGGCTTTTATATATATATATATATATATATATATATATATATATATATATATAAATATATAAATATATATATATATATATATATATAGAGAGAGAGAGAGAGAGAGAGAGAGAGAGAGAGAGGCATATTTATGCACACCTATTTGTATTCACCTGTCCATAACCACCTTATAAAAGGTAATTTAATTCAGAAACATTTATTTATATATTTATTTTAAATATTTTTGTATTGATTTTAGAGAGGAAGGAAGAGGGAGAGAGAGATAGAAACATCATGATGAGAGAGAATCAGGGATCAGTTGCCTCTTGCAAGTCCCCCACTGGGGATCGAGCCCACAACCCAGGCATGTGCCCTTGACCGGAATTGAACCTGGGACCTTTCAGTTCACAGGCTGATGCTCTATCCACTGAACCAAACCAGCCAGGGCTAGAACCATTTATTTTAAATATATTTTTATTGATTTGAGAGAGAGAAATATCAATGATGAGAGAGAATCATTGATCGGCAGCCTCCTACATGCCCCACATGGGATCAAGCCCATAATCTAGGCATGTTCCCTGACTGGGAATTGAACCCTGACTTCCTGGTTCTTAGGTCAATGCTCAACCACTGAGCCACACTGGCTGGGCTAACAAAGATTTATTGAGCACTATTTATATCTGTCATTGTTCTGTGGGCTGTTAATTGGCTGTTTCACACAAGTTTCTCATAGTCTAAGAGGGAGACAGGCAGATAGACGAATTATAATGGTAGCTGAAAAATACAATAGAAATATATTGATACATCTGTTGCCCAGAGGAAGACAGGAGGGAGGGAATCAGGAGATGGGCATGAAAGGCTTTATGGAGCAGGCAACAGTTCAGGTGGAACAAGACTGATCAGAATTTCTCTAAATTGCACCCAGCACTGCAGTGAGATAGATATACAGTGAGTGGCCAGATTATTATGATCTCTGAATGCATAATAATCTGGCCACTCAGTGTGTGTGTGTGTGTGTGTGTGTGTGTGTGTGTAGTGTGTGTGTGTGTAGTGTGTGTGTGTGTGTGTAGTGTGTGTGTGTGTGTGTGTGTGTGTGTGTGTCTATTTATATTAGAGGTCCAGTGCATGAATTTGTGCATGGGTGGGATCCGACCAGCCTGACCAGGGGGAGGGTACATGGACAGTTGGCAGGTCTGCCTGCTAGCTGAACTCCTGGTTGAGGGGCCAATTTGCATAATAGCCTTCTATTATATAGGATATACACTGAGTGGCCAGATTATTATGCGTTCAGAGATCATGATAATCTGGCCACTCAGTGTACATCTCCATTTTGAGTAATATGTAGATTCATACAGGAAGGGACACTCTTCTCTAGGAAGCTTGAGAACTTGTGGGACAAACCCAGCCATTCCTTGCTCTGGAATCAAAGCCTCTGCTGCTGCCACTTTGAAATGAGCTTTGGAGGAAAGCACTTGGAATTAGTCCAGGATCCTATCAGGGAAACCACAGTTCCTGAAAGGATGTATGTGAGTTATAGAACCCGGAGAACTAGCTGCCTGAGTGTTGAGTAAAAGGCCCCTGCAGGAGAATGGGGGACAGGGGAGAGCAGACATTTTTACTATAATTAGTTCTGGGAGTAATAGAGCTGGGGGAGGGAGAGGAGTACAGCCGGCGACTATTTTGAGCACAGCTCCGATTGACAGGACACGTGTGCTGGACTGTACTGATCCCAGGGCCAAGTTGCCCGCCTGTGGTGTGTGGTGTGGGGGGGAAGGCCTGGCGCAGCAGGCGCAGGACAGCCAGACAGACAGGCCGGACGGGGTACCAGCACCCCTACTCCTCTCCCTGGGACCCTGTCCACACTCCGAGGGCCATAGGCCAACCTGAGCGATGGGTGCTGAGAAGGAGGTGCTGGTCACACTGTCAGGGGGAGCCCCCTGGGGCTTCCGACTGCAAGGGGGGGCCGAGCAGAGGAAGCCCTTACAGGTGTCCAAGGTAAGGGAGAGCCCCTACATTGAGGTTTCAGGGGAAGGGGGAACCTGGGGGGAGTCCTGTGGTGGAGAAGGGGGAGGCTGTGAAGAAGAGTGGGGTGGGTAGATGGGCAGGAAAGCATGCTAACGTTTGCCGGGGGAAGTAGTGTCTTGTGGGGACGGGGGCTATTAGAAAAGGGAATTCCTGGTTTCTGGTGGCAAAGAAGAGAAGACTCTGTCTCGGTTCCCTGCAGCACCAGAGCCGCAGAGGCTCAGAGCTGGCCACCCAGTCTCCTGGGTCTGTGCCTCTACCGCAAACTCCAGGAATGTAGGGAAGGTTCTACTTTCTCTCTAACTAAACTGATATGTGATGAGCTGAGGCTGTCATGCCAGCCCAGCCTAGCTCTGCCCTGCCCTGCCCTGCCCTGCCCATGCTCCTCTTTTCCTACACCAGATCCTTTCTCTCTAGGCAAGATTCTTTTTTTGGTGCTAGCCTGTCAGTTGAAGCTGTTACCCTATTGGTTTCGCCATACAGGCTTAATTTTTTCAACTGTAAAATGTGGGTAATAAGAGTTCCTACTTCATAGAACCACTCTAAGGATTAAATGCAATAATACACATAGAGTGCTTAGCACCATGCCTAACATTTAGTAAGCACTCAGTAAACGTTAGCCACCACGGCACACATATACACACACAATCACAGTCTCCCAGAGTCTGCAGGACTCCCTCCAATCTGGAATAATGTTCTAAAACATTACTAGTAGACTATGTAGATAATAGTGCCTGGGATTCTGAGGCCTAGGAGTGAACTCTTAGCTAGTATAGATATTGCCCTTAGAGGAAGATCTTGGAAAGCCATTTATAGCACCTGCCCTGCCCCCCATCCTCTCATTCGATGATTATCCTCAGATACAGTATTGCTTCCTCGACTCTGCACCTTCTTCCCCTAGGAAGGCCCCCTTCACTGCCGTCCCATGTCTCTCTCCACCCTTTCTTACATGGCACAGAACAATCCCTCCCACACACGGGTCCTTCCCATCCTAGCTCCTTCCATTCTATGCCCCCTCGGAGCCCTCCCTCACCTACAGTCTCTCCTCCAACACCTTCTCAGATCCGGAGACGGAGCCAGGCTGGCAGAGCAGGACTCCGAGAGAGGGACCAGCTTTTGGCCATCAATGGGGTCTCCTGCGCCAGCCTCTCCCATGCCAGTGCCATGAGCCTCATCGATGCCTCAGGGACTCAGCTTGTCCTCACTGTGCAGAGGTATGGACTCCTCCCAACCCAACCCATCCCGTCCCCCTATCCCGTCCCCCTCCTCCCTGACTCCGCTCTGTGTCTCCCTGGCCTGGCTTCAACAACTAACAAGGACCTATTTCTGCTCATGTCTCAGTGCTGGAATATAGGTGTCAGAGTAGGCCTCCCGAAGGGCTTGGATATATGTGTAACTTAGGGATGGAGTGCCAAGTGGCTGAGCGTGAGGGCCTCCTTCAACCCCTTCCTTGCCTGTCTCATTATCACTTCTCCCTCAAAGCCCATTTCTGCTCACAGCCCTCCAGGCTCATTTGCCTCCCAGTTTGGCTTCAGATCTCCACTCTTCCCAACCCATCCCACCTATAGCTTTCTTCTCCCCTTACCTCCTTTCCCCACCCCCTCCAGATCTCTAGCTGGCAGTCATCCAACCAATCTCCTAAGTTCTCTCATCTTTCGCAGGGTAGAGGATGAAGGGCCTGTGCGGTCTCCATCTCCTGGTGAGCTTCAGGTGCTGTCACCTTTGTCTCCAATGAGTCCTGAGCCCCCTGGTGCTCCAGTTCCCCAGCCTCTTCAGCCCGGGAGCCTCCTCTCACCCCCGGATAGTGAGGCCTACTATGGAGAAACAGACAGTGATGCCGATGGCGCTGCCACCCAGGAGAAGCCCCGCCGCCCCCGCCGCCGAGGCCCCACGAGGCCCACCCCTCCGGGAGCCCCACCTGACGAGGTCTACCTGTCGGACAGCCCTGCGGAGCCGGCACCCGCTACCTCTGGCCCTTCCAACCAGGGTGACAGCCGTGTGAGCTCGCCATCTTCGGAGAGTGGGGCAACCCTTAAGCCTTCCCCAGGCGAGGCCCTGCTGTTGCCCCATGGTACCCTCCGGCCCGGCCCTCATCTCATCCCTATGGTGGGGCCTGTTTCCCACCCGGTGGCGGAAGATCTTACTACAACCTACGCCCAGAAGGCCAAGCAAGCCAGTGAGTGCCTGAACCATTTCCCCCTAGCCTTTTAATGTGAGCCCTAAACCTACCCCTTCATAACCATGCCTTATTCTCCCCTGGGATATAGTCTTGGGAACAAGTGGAGAAGAGTGATGAGTAAGAGGGGGGAGATCATTATTCTCATGGACCCATTATTTCTGCTGTTCCAACCAGTTCAACAAAAAGGTACAGGTGGTTCACCCCAACTCCGTAAGAGGGGAAGTAGGGAAGTTGGAAAGAGACATGAATCAGTGAAGGCTTTGCTGGTTGTCCTTGCTATCGTTTTGCCAGGGGCTAGCTAGAGGGCAGGGAAGTGTTTGGAAGCAGGACATGGCTACAGGGCCTCTTCAGTGTTAACTGCAGGCATAGAATCAGAGCAATCTTTGGCCTTTGTAAATTCAGTTCCTGGGACTGGGAGGCTAGGGACAGTCAGGAGTCCCTAGGAAGTGGTAGAGGGAGGGATTTTCAGCTCTTTATCTCAGGCAAGAATGTAGGCCTGGGCAGAAAAAAAAGAAAAAAAAAATCAAAACACAGTTCCACTTATCTCAAGCTCTCTGCTATTTTTGACGTGAGCTATAGAACAAGGTCTAAGAGCAAACTTTCTCCCCATCTTATGCCCACCATGCCTCTCCCCAGAGCGCTTTCTTATCACCTTAGAAACCTCAGGGTTATTCCTCTAGTTCTCGTCTCCCATTCCTCCACTCCAGCATTCTGATTCCTGACCCTTAGAATTTTTGTGTCTCTAAGTCTGGATTAGAAGCTTAAGATGTAACCGTTTAGAGTGTGGCATCCCTAAGAATGTCCCATGTGCCACAAAGACATTCCAGATGCATGCCCAGGATCCCATGCTTATCCCCAATTCTCATTTTAGCACCCTCTCCCTTCCCCTCGTGCTGGGTGAGAGTGGAGTTCGTGGCTCAGGGCTATTTTTAGCCAAGCAGACCTCATTGTCCAGTGGGGTGAAGTAGGGGGAAGGGGAGGCAGGTGCCCACGTCTATCACACCGGGGCTGGTGGAGCAGGCCAGAGGAGGGAGGGGGACAGGCTCCAAAAATAGCACGGTGAGCTCATGCAGCTGCCAGCTCTGGGGACAAGACAAAGGGGCTTTAAAAGGCATGGGGGGTGGCTCACGCTGGTCCAGCTCCAGCCAACACCGCCTTTCTCGGCATGGAGACCTTTGAGCCCATCGGCCAAGAGCCCCTCAGCCAAGCCAGTGACAGCAAAGCTCCAGGCCCCGCTCCTGAGCCACAGGACCCCTTCTATGCAGGTACCACTCCCCATAGCCAAGGCAGGTCTGGGACTAGAGGGCAGGGGAGGACACCAACACTCAGGAAGGGAGGTCTTTGGGAAAGGTCTTGCTCCCTGATCTGTTCCTCTTTCCCCCTTCCTGTTCCTTCTTTTCTAAGGAAAGTCTCATGGCCCCTCTCTCAGAATGGACTAATGCTCTGCTCACATGTCACAGGGACCTGTGACCACATGAGCTGTAGGAACCTCCAGGGGAGAGTGTGTGAATGGGGGAGAAGTCCTATCAACATATTGAGGTCTGTATGTGAAAGGAAATATGTGTGACTAAGAAAGTGGTCTGTACACAGGGGTAGCTAGTGACAAGAAAGCTTTAATCGTAATGGTTACTCACAGTGGAACTTATGGATGCTGTTAAAGGCTAAATTTACCTACATTATCTCACTCAATCCTCATAGCAACCCTATGAGGTAGCTATTGTCCTTCCCATTCACAGATGAGGAAACGGAACTTCCATGAAGTGAAGTAACTCTCCCCAGAACCAAAGACCTGAACTGAAGGCTCACTCCGATATCTGTCTCTTGTTCACAGTTCTGTTTGGTGGTAGAAATGTTGGGATGGGCACAAGGGGAGCTCTAATAATGAGTAGAAAGGAGATGGAATTTTTTAAAATTAATTTCTTTATTGATTAAGGTATCACATATCTGTCCTCATCCCCCCATTCCCATCCCCTCCCCCTCCCCACTTATGCCCCCATCCCCCTATTGTCCTTGACCACTGGTTAGGCCAGGAGATGGAATTTCAATAATTTTCTCAGGAGGAACTGGGGATCATGGGTCAGAAAGCCCAAGGCAGGGTCCCGGCCACAGGGCAGCCTCTCCCACTTCCTGGCCCCACCTCCCAGGCCCCACATGGCATGGGAAGCCCGGCCCTGCCTCCCTGAGTATATAATCCTTTTGTGCCTGCCTGGTGGCGGCGGCCTGAGCTCTCTACCTAGAAGGCTGACCCCTAAGGAAGAGTCCTCCATCGGAACCTCAGCTGGAGGGAAAGGTGAATAGATTTAGTCAGTGACTTTGAGGTATCATGAAGGTTTGGAGGATTGCCTTGGAGAGCAGCACTCTGGCTTCTCCTGCATCTCGGATCTGACGCTCTTCCTGGCTGTGAGTAGCGGGATGTGAGGCAAATGGAAGGCCAATGTCTGCTCTAAAACTTCGTTCAAACTTTTAGGAAAAGGACCTTCGCAGGGGGAACTCTAGGAAGAAGGGCCATCTGGAGTGTGCATGTGTGTGAATGTATTCAAGTGACTCTATGTGTTTTTGTTAAAGTACATGGGTGAACTAGGGTGTATATAACCTGGGGTATATGTAAATGAGAGAGAAAAGTCCAGGGGAAAATGTGCCCACAGCTGGCTTTTACCAGCCCCACATTCTTCTTGTTGAAATGATGTGTGGTGGGTTATTCCTATGAATGTATAGGATGTGGACTGCACGGTGGGGGTGGAATAAGATCCTTGTTGCTACGGGTCCTTGGTGTCCTTACCATAGGGGTAAGTGAGCAAGTCCCAAACTTTCTGAGATCTCTGCCATGTGATCTCTGTGGTTTCATGGAGAAACGTGTCCCTTCTCCTCTTTTGTCTCCCTGGGACCTGCTCCGTCTTTCTGCCTGGGAAGTGACCTCCCCTACCCCCCACCCCAACCCACCCCTGCGTCTCAGCCAGAAATGGAGGGAGGCAGGGGAGGAATGTGAGTGGGGTGGATAACAGCAGGTCTCTGCGAAGACAGGAGCAGAACAGGGGGAGGAGAGGAGAGCTGTGGTCAAGAGTGGTGTCTGGACAGCCAACTGGACTCTGCCTTCCTTCTGACTGTCCTTGGTTTCACCTTTCACCCTCCCGTCTGCCCCCAAGTCAGAGGACCTTGAAAAGGCAGGAGGTGGGAGGGCCGAGGGAGCTGGCCGGGGCGGGAGGAGGGGGTGGAAGCCTTGGGAGAAATGGGACTCCCCGGAGGCTCACCGACCTTCCCCCTCCCGGCCTCCCCAGAGCTGCAGCGGGCGGAGAGCCTCCAGGAGAAGAGCGTGAAGGAGGCCAAGACCAAATGCCGGACGATCGCGTCCCTGCTGACCGCGGCCCCCAACCCCCACTCCAAGGGGGTGCTCATGTTTAAGAAGAGGCGGCAGAGGGCCAAGAAGTACACCTTGGTGAGCTTCGGGTCTGCGGCGGGGACCGGCGCCCAGGAGGAGGAGGAGGAGGAGGACGGAGTCCCGCCCACGAGCGAATCCGAGCTGGACGAGGAGGCCTTCTCCGACGCCCGCAGCCTCACCAACCAGTCCGACTGGGACAGCCCCTACCTGGACATGGAGCTGGCCAGGCCGGGCCCGGACCCGGGGCCGGGGGGGCAGCTGAGCGAGGCGGCGGGGAGAGGGGTCCGGCTCTTCGAGCAGCAGCGCCAGCGCGCGGCCTCCAGCGCCCGGGAGCCGGCGGGGGACGGGCCCGCGGCCGCGCTCAACGGGGGGACCCCCCAGTCCCCCCCAAGAGCCCCCCAGTCTCCCCCAAGGGCCCAGAGCGCTCCCCCCGAGGCGGCCGGGCTCCCCCAGTCCGGGCTCCCCCCGTCGCCAGGCCCCTTCGCGGGCCCTAGACCCTTCCCCGCAGGCGGCGGAGCCCCGGCCCCATCGCCCAGCATCTTCAACCGCTCAGCCCGGCCCTTCACCCCGGGCTTTCAGGCGCAGCGGCCGGGCACCTCCTCCGTTATCTTCCGGCCCGTGGCCCCCAAGAGGGCGAGTGAAAGCCTGGGCGGCCTCAGCCCCGCTCCCCCGCCTTTCCTGGCCTCCCCTCCGGGGCCCGCCCCGCTGCCCAGCTTCACCCCGGGGGTCCCCAGCTTCACCCCAGGGGTTCCCAGCTTCACCCCGGGGGTTCCCAGCCACCTGCCGGCCTCCAGCTCCCCCGGCGCCCCCCGCTCTGCGGGCCCCGTGACGGCCACCAGCTCCCTGTACATCCCGGCCCCCAATCGTCCCGTTACGCCAGGCGGCACCCCCGAGCCCCCCGCCCCCTCTGGCGCCGCGGCCATGACCTCCACCGCTTCCATCTTCCTATCGGCGCCTCTGCGACCCGGCCCCGCCGCCCCCGGCCCCGCCGCCCCAGGGCCCCCCGCCCCTGGCCCCGCCGCCCCCGAGCCCCCCAGCGCCCGGGAGCAGCGCATCTCGGTGCCGGCCGCACGCACCGGCATCCTCCAGGAGGCCCGGCGCCGGGGCACTCGGAAGCAGATGTTCCGGCCGGGGAACGAGGAGACGAAGAACTCGCCCAACCCCGAGCTGCTGTCGCTGGTGCAGAACCTGGACGAGAAGCCCCGGGCCGGGGGCGCGGAGTCCGGCCCCGAGGAGGATGCGCTGAGCCTGGGCGCCGAAGCCTGCAACTTCATGCAGCCGCCAGGGGGCAGGAGCTACAAGACCCCGCCGCACGGGACGCCCAAGACCCCGCCCCCGGTGGCCCCCAAGACCCCGCCCCCCGTGGCTCCTAAGACCCCGCCCCCCGTGGCTCCTAAGACTCCGCCCCCCGTGGCTCCTAAGCCCTCCTCTCGGGGGTTCCCCGAAGGGCTAGTGAATGGGGCAGCAGCCCCTCCCGCTGGGATCCCCGAGCCGCCGAGGCTCCAGGGCAGGGGTGGGGAGCTGTTTGCCAAGCGGCAGAGCCGAGCGGACCGGTACGTGGTAGAGGCCACGCCTAGTCCCGGCCTTGGCCTTGGCCCTCGGCCCCGGAGCCCTTCTCCCACTCCCTCGCTGCCCCCTTCCTGGAAATACTCACCCAACATCCGCGCCCCGCCTCCCATTGCTTACAACCCGCTGCTCTCCCCCTACTTCCCGCAGGCCGCCCGAACTCTCCCCAGTAAGGCCCAGTCCCAGGGGCCGCGAGCAACCCCCAAGCAGGGCATCAAGGCTCTGGATTTCATGCGGCACCAGCCCTACCAACTGAAAACTGCCATGTTCTGTTTTGACGAGGCTCCCCAGACTCCGGGTCCCACCTCCTCAGGACCCCCCAAAACTGCCCGAGTCCAGGAGGTCCGCCGGTTTTCCACTCCAGCACCCCAACCCACCGCAGAACCCCTGGCTCCCACGGTGCTGGCCCCCAGAGCAGCCACTACACTGGACGAGCCCATCTGGAGGGCGGAGCTGGCCTCAGTCCCTGTCCTTAGCCCAGCCCCTCCTCCTCCAGAGTCTCCCAGGGGTCTTGGGACCTCACCCAGCTCCTGTGGCTTCCAGGTAGCCAGACCCCGGTTTTCGGCCACCAAAACGGGATTGCAGGCTCAGGTGTGGAGGCCTGGTGCAGGCCACCACTGAGCAGGCACAGCTCCCAGGACCAAGGAGAGTTGCTTCTCCCGTTCCTAGAGTTGCTTCTCCTACCCAATCCACTCCCTCTCCCCGGCATTTGGAGGTTAAATTCCCTCCTGCCAGAGATAGTTTTGGAGTTGGTATCCCATCCCCATTTCCTCCTGGCTCCCAACCTCCCTTCCGCTTTCCAAGCTAATAGTTCTGCTTTGGTATTTGTGCTTCTCTTTGTCTTTGTAGTTTCTTGCTTGGATCTCTGTCTTTACCTCTAGGTCACTCCACCCATGTTCCCTCACTGGTCCGTATTCCTCTACTTTTGTTCTTTTCTCTGTGAACTTCATAACATTCAATAAGAAGCACACAGAGAAGCTACCTACCACTGAGCACTCTGCAAGAATCTCACCACCAGGCAGGCAGCAGTGAAATGGAATTGATCCTTGTTGGCGCTAAGTTACTCTCTACTGCTCACCTTTTCCAAACGTGGCTGGCATATACCTCGGCATGTATGTACGTGTGTACCCATATGCAAGTGCACAGATGTGCTCTTCTGTCTGAGGCAAGAGTAAGAGGACAGGTCTAAATAAAGACCTGATGTGGGTCTCACCCTTGCACTGATGAAAAAAGGGTGAGATGACCCCACATAGGTGATCTAGGGGAGAAAGAGATTCACTACGTGAAAGGCTAGCATCTGTAATTGGTACACAGCATCTTGTGAAATGTATGGAGTATGGGGAGACTAGAAGGGCCAAGGCAGTGTGTATGGGCTGCATGACACTAGTTAGATCAGGAATGGAACTAAAAATTCTGTTCCTCAGGATTTGAGACAGTTAGCAATTTGACAGGCCCATGCTGAGCAGCAAGCATCCAGGAAGTGAACAAAAAGGAAATTTTCCTCTGAGAGTGAACAAATCATTGGCTTCACTTCCTCTAAGCGTAGGACAGACAGAAAAGCGTCATGGTGTGGAAAATGAGGCAGAACCAGGAGCAGAGCAGACATTAATGAAACCGACTAAGCCACAAAGAGGAGCATGGTGGAGAGTGAGAATGCAGTGTTGGCAGCCAGTAAAGTTAAGTATCAAGAAACCAACTGTGTATAAGGGAAGGATTGGGGGGGGGGGGGGTTGTGATGGAGAAGAATGCTTTTGTTAGAGTGAAGTGGATGATGGTGGGGGGATGTCAGAGTATATACTAAGTGCTGAAAAAACAGTTGGTATCTGTGCTACCTCCTTTGAGTCTGTCCCTCTGTCTTTTGCAGCTGGTCCTAACTACCTGGGAAAGGGCTAGGAAACACCCAGAGCCAACCCCCTTTTCAGTCCTACCCTACCTCTCAGACCCTAGCTCCTGTTCCTTTCCAGCTTCAGCTCCTGATCTCTGATCCTAGAGGAGTGTAGACTCCCCTGTCACCATGACTACCAAGGGTCACGTTTGCTGCTTGATCTGGAAATGGATCGTTTCTTTTGTATACTGGGTGTGAGTCACAGTACTTTTGTTTGTGCACAAAAATAAACGTATACCCCACGCCTTCTGTTGCTGTCTTCTCTTCTAGGTTTATACCCAAATCCTGATTTCCCTTGATTTTAATTCATTCAATGATCCTGACCTTCTGATTCCTGGTTTCTTTTTCCATTGCTGCCCTCCTGTGTTTCACCCTTTTGCCCTTTACTCTCGGTCTCTTGATCTTCTCTACCAATTCTGTCTCATTTCTATTTAGTCATTTCTACCACTCCCCTTGGTTCCCTCTCCCCACATTTCCCATACAGACTGTCCCCCTTTCAATCTCTTGCTCCATACTTTCCAAGCTAGGCCTCTGTTTACAGAACTAGGAGAAGGTGCAAAGGCCCTTTGCCATCAACATTTCCTAGCTCCCTAAAGGAAGCAACCCTATTTCCATGGGAAAACAATGGCTGTAGGGCGAGAGAAGGGAGAGGGAAGAACAATAGAGAGGATGGGCAGATAGTGTGGATTGAGACCTATAAAGAAGAGAGTGCAAGTAGGGGGGAGGTAGGGGAGGAGTAAGGGAGGCCAGTGGAGAAAAAGAAAAGAGAGAGACATATGTACTACTATTTGTAACAACTTAAGCAATAAAATTATTTTTAAAAGAACGAATAAAACCTTCCTAGAAAAGAAGAAGAAGAAGAAGAAGAAGAAGAAGAAGAAGAAGAAGAAGAAGAAAAGAAGGCACAAGAGGCAAACTAGAATTAAACTTTGCAGAAGGAAGTGCCATTGCTCCAAGTTTACCAGCAGGGGGCATATTTGCCCAGTAACTAGGTCCAGGACCCAGATGCTCCTAAGTACAGTCTCAGAATTCCAAAGGAAGGAAGGGCCCAGAAAGCATAGGCTAAATATTCTATCTCCACCCACCTGGTAGTTTTTTGGCACTTAATAACAGGAGATGGTGAGCATAAGCAGCCATCAGATTTTGGGTTGTTATTGAGGGGAGGATGGTGGTGATGATGAAATCACCATTTGCTATTTGTTTTTTTTCTTCTAATTGCTTCTTTGGGTTGGGAGGAAATGGAGAAGGAAGACAAAAGGTGAGGGATCTAGAGGCCAAACTGATCTAGGAAGAGGCCAGCTACAGAAAGCTAAAGCCCTTTCAGCTCCCAGCCTGAACCGGAAAAGTTTAGGATGGGAAAAGGGCATGGTCAGGAAGAGTGGAGAGCTCACAGAGGAACAGGACAGGGAGGGTATTCTGGGAGCTACAAAACCCACTTCTTAAAGCAGCCACAATAGGGTGGTTCCAGAATCTAAGTAGAAGGTAGAGGAGGATCCAGATGTTCATGGAGCTACAGGGGAAAGGGCTGGGCACACGACAGGCTTCTCCAGCCAGTGCCGCTGCCCAGAGGTTTCTTTGGAACAATGCAAATGGGATATGTGTTCCTTTAAAGAAAAGCCCAAGTAGGAGCCTCAGAGAGCAAGGCCTTGGCAGGTCCGAAGCCTTCATACACTTCTCAGAGAAACATCAACATCTATCCTGCAGAGTAGGCTGCACTGAACATTCCAACAGCAAATAGGAGTGAAAAGGCAGAAACTGGTCAGGTTTTCCCCACATCTTCCCTTACAGCCTAGAAAGCACTGGGTTTGGTTAATTTGGTCCCTTAATCTGCTAAAATCTGGCCCTCCCAGAGGAAAGATCAACCCATCCAGGAACTTTCAAAGAGCAGTCCCATTGGGAACAGACATCCCTTTCCCAAACACAGTGCCTTAAGCTTTCCCACCCCAAAATGCACCCCCATGTCCTTCCAGCTGCGATGCGGATTGGCTCTGAATGGCTCTCTAGGTTCTATACACACACACACACACACACACACACACACACACACACACATATATATGTGTGTGTGTGTGTGTGTGTGTATATATATATATATATATATATATATATATATATATATATATAATTGATTTTTTTACAGAGAGGAGGAGAGAGGGATAGAGAGCTAGAAACATCGATGAGAGAGAAACATCGACCAGCTGCCTCTTGCACACTCCCTACCGGGGATGTGCCCGCAACCAATGTACATGCCGTACATTGGTTGCGGGCACATCCCCGGTAGGGAGTGTGCAAGAGGCAGCTGGTCGATGTTTCTCTCTCATGCCCTTGGCTGGAATCGAACCTGGGACCTTTCAGTCCGCAGACCGACGCTCTACCACTGAGCCAAACTGGTTTCGGCAGAATGGCTCTCTAGGTTCTTGTCCTCTTACTCCGAATTCCTATCTACCATTTGCTGCCTACCTCCTCTCGCCTTCTCAGTTTTCACTTTCTCCCTGAATGCTTCTCAGACTCTGGAAGTTAAGCAAAAGGAGTCCCTGGGCAGACTGGCTCAGACAATTTAGTGGGAGAATCCCAAAGGCCTTTCTTTCATTCCTGAGCCTCTGGGCAAGGAGGGCAGGATCTTGGTTCCAGGGTCTCGGTACCCCTTGTGCCATTTGAGCTGCTTACGCTCACCATCTCTATTAATAACTACCCTCCCTCCCCCACTGCCAGTGCTTCCCCCACGCCTGCCCAGCTCGGGTTCTCCAGTCACAGCAGCTCAGTCCTCCAAAGCTGTTGGACCCAAGGGAGAGCTGACCACCGCCCAAGCAACTGGTAAGTCTCCAGCTCTATAGGCAGAGGGGCTGGAGCCCGTTCTGTTGACTGTTGTGTCTGTGTATGCAATAGCGACCCCTGATCCTGGGGCAGTTCCTTCTCCCCCACCTATGCTCAGTTCCCAGCTGTCCAGTTTAGGGGAGCCACAGAGAGTTGGAAGGAGAGGGGCCCAGGAGGGTGTATGTATGTGTGTGTGTGTGTGTGTGTGTGTGTGTGTGTGTGTGTGTGATAGAGATATTGGGGAGGCACTGGAGAAATAAGAAGGGGGTCTAAGAGGAAAATAGAACCTCAAAGCTGAGAGATACAGGGAGAGTCCACTTAGCAGTTCCTGGATTCTGACCTCAGCAGACCTCACTAAGTTAGAATTGCAGTTGTGTTGTGAGACAGAACTCAATAGAAGACAACATGTTTGCCGGTTGCCAACTTCTACCAAGGAGGAGCCGAAGTCTTTATCTTTTCCAGCTTGTCCCCCTTCACTGCCAGATACTATTATTATGTTCCTGTGCTCTTTCAAATTCCCACTGCTATGATATTGCTGAGTTGACATGCATCAAGGTTCAAATGTCCCCTGACCCGCCCTCTACCCCCACCCCTCTCTAATTTTGGGGTCTGGGGCAGGGGTAACTGAAACAGAGCAGGGAGTACTGCTGTGACCTCCCAGGCTATATTCCAGCTGGCCCAGTGGAGGAGCAACAACCTCTCCTTCCTATGGAGAATGTTGTTGGCTGGATCTCAACCCTGGCAGAACATTTTCCTGACCCCCTGGGGGTTGGGGAAGACTGAGGAGAGATCAGAGCTTGGTATGACAGCCCCAATCTGAGTTCCCCATTCAAATAAAAACTTCAAATCATGGTAATGAAACCAGAGTGCACAGCCCTGCTTGTGTGTTCCTTGTTTGTTATTTGTTTTAGCCCCTGCCTCCCAACATACACTGTGAATTTAAAGCATGCACTAGCACTTCGTAAAACAGCTGCAAAGAGGTTGGGAGAAGGTAGGGGCAGGGCTACATCTATAGCTTTTGCCCTGCCTTCTATGAGAAGAGAGGTCCCAAAGAAGTGAGTTTTCACCACTCCACTAGAGGGAATATGTATTTCGTTGAAAATCTAATAAAATTTTGCTCCCTGAAGCCCTTCCTGTAGACACACCCTTCCTAATCCCTGTTCATCTTTCAACTTTCTCTTCCCACTTTATCCAGGCTGAATCCTACCTCCACAATGCCGCTCTCAGGAACCCCAGCCCCCAACAAAAAGAGGAAATCCAGTAAGCTGATCATGGAACTCACTGGAGGTATGGCATATTTGCACCTGTCTAGGATGGGACGACTTCTTCTTCTTCTTCTTCTTCTTCTTCTTCTTCTTCTTCTTCTTCTTCTTCTTCTTCTTCTTTAAAATATATTATTGATTTTTCACAGAGAGGAAGGGAGAGGGATAGAGAGCTAGGAACATTGAAGAGAGAGAAACATCGACCAGCTACCTCCTACACACTCCCCATTGGGGATGTGCCTGCAACCAATGTACATGCCCTTGACCGGAATCGAACCTGGGACCTTTCAGTCCGCAGACCGACGCTCCATCCACTGAGCCAAACCTGGTTTTGGCTAGGATGGGGCTTCTTATTAAGAGTATTGCTGGCCCCCAAATCCCAGAAATATCATAAGGTCACATATGTCTTAGGGTGAAGAGACAAGAGAAATTCAGAAGTAGGGTGGGGTGAGGGATGGTGGTAGTGGGATAGGAGAAAGTATTCAGCACTAACTACTCACCCTTCGACACTTGTAGTCTGAGACAATAATGCCCATGCCATACTCCACAGTGTGGGCCAGGACAACGGGACCCACACAGGTCAGTGAGGTAGGTATGTTTAAGGAAGAAAACATAGGCAATGGAGAGGGACACAGAGTTAGGCTTTAATAAATGGTTCATCTCCTGACTTCTTTCCTCAAAGCTAGGGAGCCTGTGTACGTATTTAAAATGGAAATCTCACAGGCTGTTTGCAGCCAGAGTTCACTGAGGGGGCGAGTAGGAAAAAGAGTTAAGGCAGGAGTATACTAAGAGGTGTCCAACTCCACACTGTGTTGGTCTTTGGGCTTTGTCACAGGCTACAGCCTCCCCAGTGGCTTCCATCTATGATGTATCAGTGTTTCCCAAAGTGTGGTACGTGTACCCCCAGGGGTATGGGAAGAGTTTGGTGGGGGTACACGTTGCACCGGAGTTTGGTGGGAATATGCACTGCACCGTGCTTAGCTGTGCCTAATTCTACGTTCTCATGAGTACGAGGGGTACTCAGCATTACAAAATTTATAAAAGAGGTACACATATGTCAAAAGTTTGGGAAACACTGATACTTCATTCGCCCTGAAATTCCATGTTCATGTCCTCTGGGCCCCATTCATTCTCTCCACTCTAGTATTTCCACTATCTCCACTCTGC